TGAGTTTAAAAATTATATGTAACAGATTCAGGAAGTGTTTGAATCAATTCATGATGTTCATGGGTTACAATGGGAAGCTATGGGTGATTGCGATATGTCCCTAACTATTTGAGTTGGTGTCGAAGAGAATGACCATGGCCTTTTCCAAATCATTTGATTTTTTTTAGCCATTCATTTATTTATTCAACAAACATTTATTGAGAGTATATTATGTGTCAGATAGAATGATATATGCTGGCAATACAAAGATATTTAAGACATAGTCATATCCTCAGGTAACTCATAGTTCACTTGGGACCTAGCTATTAAAAAAATCTCAGAGGCTGGCTGGTATTTACTCAGTGGTTGAGCATCAGCCTATGAACCAGGAGGTCATGGTTCTATTCCCAGTCAGGGCACATGCTGGGTTGTGGGCTCGATCCCCAGTAGGGGGTGTAAAGGAGGTAGCTGATCAATGATTCTCTATCATCATTAATGTTTCTATCTCTCTCTCCCTCTCCTTTTCTCTCAAAATCAATAAAAATATATTTAAAAATAAAAAAAATCTCAGTAATATTATACCATCTATATACAAAAACTTTGAAAATGTTAACAATAATAGCTAACTTTTACTGAGAACTTATGATGTATTAAGTAATTAACATACATGCGTGATCTCATTTAATCCCCACAACAACTGCATGGGGTATGAATTAATAACTAAGGCTTAGATAGGCTAAGTACCTTGTGCAGTCACATTAGCTAGAAGGTGATAGAACTGAAATTTAGACTTAGGCAACCTAATTCCAGGTCATGCATCCTTCTGAGAGTGAGAGAAGCTAATGTTGCTAGTCTCTTTGTTTCACCAAGACAAAACAAAACATAACAGAATAAAGGAATTAATTATAAGGCAAAAGCAGGAAGATTTCAAGCCATGAATCATTTGTACACTTACCCAACAAAGAGGAATTATAAGCAATTTGTGGGATGCTGTATTATTTATAAGCAAATAGGAAGTTACTGGAAGAATCATCAGCAGTGACACAAAGTAGAAAGCTGCTTTCCTGCATTTAAAAGCTCTTCCATACATCTCTAGCCACTATCAATTCTAAATAAAGGCATCAGGCAGCCTCAGAGTACTCCGAGCTCTCTTAGAGATACAGTAAGTTCTTTTTGGGTATGGTCACTGAAGGGAGAAAAGGGCATAGTCCATGCCTGATCTGTTCATGGCCAAAGAGAAAGAAAAAGAGTTTCTTACTTACAAATTCAGTTTGAGAACCCACTGGGAAGGACTATGAATGGAGGATGGGGAACTATGATTGCCTCACTTGTGTCATGGCTCACTCTGTGATCAGAAAGGTGGAAGTGCTACTAGATATAGGGGATGAAGGGGATGCAGGGCAGACCGAGAACAGTCTCCTCAGGTATCACTGTCATCAATTCATTCAATAGTTATCTACTGATAATCTAGTATATGCTACACTGTGGGACACAAAAATGAGTAAGACAAATTTTTAATTAACGCAGAGAGAAAATATATTAAGTACTTTGCAATTTTAGGAGAGAAGGCAAAATTATCATACTATAACACAATGGTAAACAATTCTATATGGTATATACTATATAAAGTGCTAAATTGTATGGTGCAGACCACAAGTGATGTGGTTGTTCTAAGGAAAGGAAAATCTATATGGTAGTCACAAGCATGAATTAGTCCTTAAATGATGGGGAGGATTTGGCTAGAAGAAGATAGGGGAAGGAATTTAGAGGAAAGAAGATGGAATTCATAGGAAAAGGCTACAGTGAATGGAGGGATGGAGAGAGAAAGAAGGGCAGTCAGTGAGGAGACTGACTTGAGGAAAGCAGAGTGTGTGCAGTAGGGGAGAGCTAATCACCACACAGCTAAGGAAAAATATCACTGAGGATATTTTTCCATTGATTTTTACCCACCTTCCCTCCTGATCAGAATATTGTCAGTAGTCTCATAATGCTTGAAGGATCCACATGTGTCAGAATCTGATAGGAATCTAGTTACCAACCCCCTGACTAATTAGGGGGTAAAAGGCAAAGTAAGATTATCCATTTGGACCAGGAAGAGATCAACGGTATCAGAACAGTGGGCACCTTCCTGTGTATATAGCCTTGGAGAAGGCCAATACAACTAGAAAGGACGGCTAGAAGGTAAACTATAACTTGACTGTTAGCTAAATTAAAACTAGTTAAGAACCTCTTAAACTCCATAATTTGGGAATCTCTACTTGACTTCCTGACTAAATATTTTAATAAATTTCCATTGTTTTAGATGGACTCAGGGCATATATGATCCTTCTTGATCTAATCCTTGCCTACCTGTATAGCCTCATTCCCACCTCTGCCTGAAGAAGTTCCAGTCACAGGGAACCATGGGCACATCTCTGCAAGTTTGACTCATCTTGCTTTCTCATGTCCCTGGGTCCCCTGTTTGAGTGCCGCTTTCCTCTTCTGCTTGGCTACTTCCTAATGTCCTTTAAGACTTGGTTTGAAGATTTGTTTTCTTTTGGAAGTGTAGGATTATGGGTGATTTATTTAGGATTTATTGACAGGGACCTAGATGCCAGTGGTTGCTGCATAGAGGTGGACAGGTAGTGGATACCAGGCCTGGGAAGCTGGTGACTGAGAACCCATTCTACAGAGGTGGGAGGGATATAGAGATAGGGGGTGTGTGAGCCAAAACTCTAATCCTATGAGGAAAGACTTCACTTACAAATCATCAATCAAAGGTAAAAATTATTAAGGAAGCCATGACAGCAAACTAAGAGCATCAAATCCTAAGCATAGGGCTTTCATGAGTGCCGGGCCATGTGAGGCTGTGCTGGCCATAAGCCCATGAACCCAACCTTGCATAAAAGTCTGTTCATACAGCATTGATTAATAGCAAAATGTAATAAAGCAAAATTTTCATTAATAAGTGATTAACAAATAAATCATGGTCCAATCACACAGCAAAAAAATCATGTAGCCAGTAAAAAATGAGACAGAACATCTTTTTGATATCTAACATAGATAGCTGCTTAAAATACTGAAATAGAATATTATGAATATAACTATGTCATTAAAATGTAAGTACAGTTGGCCCTCCATATCCACGGGTTTTGTATCAGTGGATTCAACCAAGTTGATTGAAAATGTATGAGAAAAAAAGTTACGTTGTTTTTGACGTCTTATGTAGTTATGCCTATTATGGTTTCATTTATACTGAACATGTATAGATTTATCTTTCTTTTTTTAAAATTTTTATCCTCACTGAGGATATTTTTCCATTGATTTTTATTTATTTATTTATAATTTTTTAAATTAAAAAATATATTTTATTGATTTTTTTTTTTTTTACAGAGAGGAAGAGAGAGGGATAGAGAGCTAGAAACATCGATGAGAGGGAAACATCGATCAGCTGCTTCCTGCACACCCCCCACTGGGGTTGTGCCTGCAACCAAGGTACATGCCTTTGACCGGAATCGAACCTGGGACCTTCCAGTCTGCAGGCCGCCGCTCTATCCACTGAGCCAAACCGGTTCTGGCTCCATTGATTTTTAGAGAGAGTGGAAGAGAGAGGAAAAGACAGAGAGAAATATTGATATGAGAGAAACACATCGATTGGTTGCCTCCTGCAGGAGCTGGGACCAGGGCCCAGGCTTGGTCCTCGGCCGGGCCTGGGGAATAGTCTGCAACCAAAGTAAATGCCTTTGACCGGAATTGAACCTGGGACCTTTCAGTCTGCAGGCCAATGCTCTACCCACTAAGCCAAAATGGCTAGGGCTATACTTTTCTTTTTGATCCGTATTCCCTAAATAATACAGTATAACAACTATTCACATAGCATTTACATTGTATTAGGTATTATAAATAATCTAGAAATGATGTAAATTATTCTGGTGGATATGCATAGGTTATATACAAATTCTAAATGACTTATCATAAAGGACGTAAGCATCTGCAGGTTTAGGTGTGCATGGAGATTCTGGAACTAAAACCCTGCAGATACCCAGAGACAAATGTGTATACATGAATGTCTATCTAAATCAGGGATGGGGAACATCTGGCCCATAGGCCATATAAGGCCCTCCAAATTATTTGGTCTGGCCCTGCAAAGGCATTAGGAGTAAGTTAATTAAATGTTTGAACAAATATAGCAAGCTAATTATTAAGTTGATAATTTTTATGGCCCACGAATGATGTTATAAATAACCAAATGGCCCTTGGCAGAAAAAAGCTTCTCCACCCCTAATCTAAAGGAAAATTGGGAGGACTACCCGAATCTCTCTTTTTTTAAAAAATATATCTTATTGATTTTTTATAGAGAGGAAGAGAGAAGGATAGAGAGTTAGAAACATCGATGAGAGAGAATCATTGATCAGCTGCCTCTTGCACTCCCCCCACCGGGAATGTGCCCACAACCAAGGTACATGCCCTTGACCGGAATCGAACCCAGGACCTTTCAGTCCGCAGGCCAACGCTCTAGCCACTGAGCCAAACCGGTTTCGGTTACTTGGATCTCTTAAAAGTGATTAGAGGAGGAAAGAATTTTTACTTTTTATACCTATTATATTTCAGGCTTTACATGAACATATATTGTTTCTGAAATTAAAAATATGATAAAATAAAAATTTAACTCTAACACCTAGAAGCACATGTCCGACCCACAGTGAAATCTGTTGGCTCCATTTAAAAAAATAATTTTATTTTATTGATTTTTTACAGAGAGGAAGAAAGAGGGATAGAGAACTAGAAACATCAACCAGATGCCCCTTGCATACCCCCTTGAGGATGTGCCCACAATCAATGTACATGCTCTTGACTGGAATCGAACCTGGGACCCTTCAGTTTGCAGACCGACGCTCTATCCACTGAGCCAAACCGGTTTTGGCTGTTGACTTAATTTTACTTAAGAACATAAAATGACCATGGAAAATAACCTTCCTGACCTGTAAAACACTGCTCATTAAAATTCTTAATGTCTTTTTATTTCTCCATTTAATTCTTACCATCATTGCTGGACTCTTCAATAGGGGATGCTGAGTCCGTACATTCTAGGGCTTCCTTCGTGATCTCAACCACCTGAAGCCTCCTGACCCTGACTAGGTCTGTATCTTTTAATCCTTTCTCCAATTGTTTGACCACCTCTTTCCCAGGCTGCGAAGTCAGAATAGTAATCTGGAAATAAATCCACAAATCAATGTGTCTGCCTTCCTTGGTGTACAGAGAGAAACAGGTTAGATCTAGAGAATAAACACAGGAGAAATCTGTGGTAGTGGTTATTGTCTTCAGGGCAAAGAAGAGGCTTAATTGTAACCTATAAATCAAATTTCATTTGAAATATTATTTTGGGATCATCACAGAGCCCTTTTAAACAGGATGAGCCTACCCTAGACAGAAACCAGTGAGGTCATACCCCTCGTTTTAGTTTTTTTTCTTTTTCTTTTTCTTTCCAGATTTCTTGAAGCACTAGTGTCTGTCCTGCTCAAAATGCTTTGACTTTATGAGGAAATAAAGAACATTGGACCCATAAATTCCACTAAATAAATATGAACTAAATAGCAGAGAGCCTACATGCTACTTTTTCACAGTGGTGTTTCCATGTAGATTTCTTTCTTTGTTCAACCTCGATCCAGCTGCGCTGTTGACTCTTTTGTCTTAACTCTAAAATGTATTCAGTGTGGAGGGGGTCCATAGGGGAAAAAAGGGAGACATCTGTAATACATTCAACAATAAAGGTAAATTTAAAAAAAGTATTTATCCTTGATCAATATATCTGACCTAAAGGAATATTGAGGTGTTTATGTATAATGTGAATATTTGATTCTACCTCAATGAATATACTCTGTTTTCATTAGTAGTTTTGTCTTAAATTTGAAATTCTGGGAGGCAACTCTTTTTTGTACTTAGACTTTTGATTGAGGAAGAGAGATACAGAAGAAAACATAATTATTTTTTAAACTGTTTTAAAAAATCTGTTTGATGCCTGAGGGTACCAGACATGGAAAGTGTTTTTAATTCACACTCACACACTCAGTGCAGTGTGCAGTCATAACTTAATTATATTTTTCAAGATTGTCACCGTCTGGCATCAGAATTTTAGAAATTTTTACACTTCCACATTTGCTAATCCCAAGAAAAGGTACTCATTTTGGTACTAAGATTTGATTAAGTTCTTAAGGGTACCCAGAATGTATAAATATAGACCGCCATCTAGGCAATTTAACGATTGCTTTACAAGTTCCAAATATCCAAAGGCAGATGGCATATTCAGATTTTATCTGAGTTTAGTTTTTCCTTATAATTCACTGTAGTCCCCATTTTTAGAGCTCCTCTCGCTTCCTAGCTGTGTAGTAAGAATTGCACAGGTTACAGGACAAAGGGACCATGTCTCCTGCCTGCAGGAAGCTAAAAACCTAGTCTTGAAAATGACATTCAATGTGAATGAAACTGAACAATATAAGAATGATAAATAAGAAAGCATTTAAGTGGACTGAAATGGGAAGATGGCTTAGACTTGCGAGGCCAGCATCTCCTACCTCCAGGGAAGTGTAGGTCAGAGCTGCGCCTGTGGTCACATGTCTGCTGTACTGTTTGAACTGCTGGAGCCCATCTTCTACGGCCAGCTGCAGAGAAGTACCTTGTGGTCTGAAACAACCTTCTCTCTGCAATGTGCGGATCTCTGAGATGCAGGTCTGCAGCCTGGCAAAATTCCCTTTCACTTGCTGCAGAGAAAAATGAATCAGATATAAATCTTTAGTGACCCAGGTTTCAGATTAATTGGGAGTCTAACTTCATTATCATTTATTCCTCCTCAGGAGTCCCTTCTGTTTATTTGATCCACATTAACTGAATGCCTACTGTGTTCGTTCTTCATTCTAGGCACTACACTCAGGTCTTCCCTATACCAGAAGAACGAAGATTTACAGTCAAAGGGCTTTATGAGGAGTTACCAGAAACAGGAAAGGAAAGTCCAGGTGTTACTACCCTGTTTCCCCGAAAATAAGACAGTGTCTTATATTAATTTTTTCTCCCAAAGTTGCGCTAGGTCTTATTTTCAGGGGATGTCTTATCTTTCCATGCGCTAGGTTTTATTTTCGGAGGATGTCTTATTTTCGGGGAAACACGGGTACTTACTTTTACTTTGGGGTGGCCTGCAAATTGGAGGCTTAGCAAGGCTACTCTTAAACATTGTCTTTATTTCTCAGGCAGTCTAAGCAGTGGCAGCTTCTTTATTCAAGAGTGGAGAATGGTGTTTTTCCAGAAATGAGAATTTTGATGTGGTTGATCATTTCATTACTGATAAGGTCTACTTAATCTGCTCCTCAGGACTACTTCAGTAAGTAAGAGATGTTTGGTTTTGTCTGCAGTCAGCTCAAGGAGCCAAGAGAAAACTTCTTGGTTCTCCTCACCCTCCTTTATAAAAACTTGCTATCAGGAAGTGTTCTAATATAATCTGATTCTAGGTCAATGTTACTAAGGATCTATGCATTTAAAAAATACATTTTATTGATTTTTTATAGAGAGGAAGAAAGAGGGATAGTTAGAAACATCGATGAGAATCATCGATCAGCTGCCTCTTGTACACCCCCCACTGGTGATGTTGCCTGCAACCAAGGTACGTGCCCGCAACTAAGGTACATGCCCTTGACCGGAATCGAACCTGGGACCTTTCAGTCCGCAGGCTGACGCTCTATCCACCGAGCCAAACCAGTTTCGGCAGGGTCTATGAATTTTGAATAAATGTGAAATGAAAATTTGTGACCCCACTTGAAGAAATTCCAAGCATCAATAGTTGGTATGGGGTGGGAATAGATGGGAAGGATAGCCAAATTAGTCCAAAATCTCATTGTAGGTCAGACATGATAACTATGTACAGTGCCAGGTACTGGAAATATTAGAGGAACACTTTGTAAATTATATGCTTATCTAACCACTATGCTGTATACCTAACTAAAACTAATACAAAATAATATTGAATGTAAACTGTAATTAAAAAAAAAAGGAATTGGTAAGATCTTCACAGTAAGGGAATTCTTCTAAAACTGCTTTGAGAGAAGATTAATCATTTTGGTCAGATTTATTTATATTAATGTCACAATGGATATAAAAGGAATTCTAATATTTTAATTATGATTCCTCTGTCATGATTCCTTACAAAAAGTTCAGTATTATTTGATTATACTCATAAATTAAATATGAGGAGTTATATTGAGGTTTTTCGGTTTGGGCAAGTCTCCTACTTGATATCGTTCTCCTTTTATATTTTGAGCTAACTCTGCAGAAAGAAAATGCCAGATGCTTATATAGGTCAGAGGCAATGGGTTTAAAGTAGCATTCTTCCTTAAACCAAAGATTCAATTGTTCTATACATAAGGTGATGGCATTGTTCAGTGATTTTCTTGATCTTTTAACCAGGTTTGAGTTTATTGTGTTTTTTTTTTTAGGAAAAAAAAGTGGCTTGTAATTTTTCCTGAGATACCAGTCAGAGGTTTTTGGTCCATAATAGTCTGCCTCTCCTAATAGATTAACTAAGGGATCAAAGGATTCATCCATTGCCAGATGTACTGAGGAGTGCCAGATGCATATAACTTAGTCAATTGAGGAGGGGGAGAAAAATCCTTTTACCTTTGTTTGGAACATGAGCTCATTTCTCAAAAAGCCTCTAATGCTGGATATCTTCCATTTTGTCCTTCCAGGTCACTCTCTACTTTTCTCTACCCCCATTGCCTGAGTGAAGATTGATATCACAGGCAAATATGTTCATGGGAAAGACATGCACAAGGAAAATGGCACAATAGAAAAACATATCTGCCACATGGCCAGAAACATCAGTATCACTTTCACTCTGTCCTCAGTATACTCGAGGATATATAACCAGTGGGTTATATACAGTCAGAATTATACAATTTACTTACCCATTCACCAGTTAACACTCTGTTTCTAGTTTGAGACTATTATGAATAACGCTGCCATGAATATACAAGTATATTTATTTGTGTGAGTGCATGTTTTTATTTCTGACGGGCAGATTCCTGGGGTGGAATTGTTGGGTTATATAGAAGGAATACATTTAACTTTTTAAGAAATTGACAAACTATTTTTTAAAGTGGTTGTATCATTTAACCTTCCCATCAGTAATGAGTGAGGGTTAAAGTTTTCCCGCGTTCTCACCAACACTTGGTATTGCCTGTCTTTTAAATGGGTCCCATTCTAGTGTGTAATGTTAACTTTGCTTTTCTTTAACTTTTTATTTTGAAATAACTATAAATTTACACAAAACTAAAAAAAAATGTACACAGGGAACTTGTGTAACCTTTACCCAGTTTCTTTCAGTGGATACATCTTATATAACTGGAGCACAATTTTAAAACCAAGAAATTGACCTTAGAAGAATATCATATTATCACATCTGTAGATTCATGTAGTCACCATCTCAGTCAAGATACAGAATTATTCCCTCACCACAAAGCTCCCCCCCTTGTGCTATGCTTTTATAGTCACCTCTGATATGGGGGACTTATAATCTAATAGATAGAGCACCTGAATTAATCTGAAAAGTAATCATATTATTTTAAATCTTAGAACACATATACTTATGTGAATAGGGGGTTAAGTTTCTCATAGGTGAATAGGGGATTAAGATTTTCTTAAAGTTTTCTTTTCAAGGCCTGTGCAAAGCAATTGAGGTGACTCAGCTGTGAATCCAGCAAGCAGAACTGATAAACATTGTCAGGTTGACCCAACAGGAGTCAAAACATCATCTCATTGCCTGATGACTAATTACAATAGCTGATGTCTGTGGATCCCTGGGCCTGCACATAGCTGCATTCCTCACCCTGGCCCCTTTCCCTTCATAATCTTGTTCCCTGCACCTTGGCTGGAAGGCAGGATTTGATGCTTGTAAGCGCCTGTCTTCTTGATTGGCTAACCCTCCCAATAAACACCCATATGATTCAACCCTGCCTTTGTTATTGGATACAACAACAGGCAGCTGAGCTCAAGGGAGGTGGGGGTTCCTGCTAACACCTCCAAGCCCTTCCATTCATAATCCTTGGCAACCATTAACCTGTTCTTATTCTTTAAAATTTTGTCATTTTGGGAGAGTTATGTAAATAGAATTTAGTAGAAATTTCTATAAAAGAAATTTAAAACTCCTGAAAAAGTAATTTCTAGGCCTGAATGGTTTTATGGAGAATTGTATCAAATGTTTAAAGAAGAATTAATATCAATTCTATACAATCTTTTCCAGGAAATATAAGGAAAGGAAACTCTTATGAACTAATTTTATGAAGCCAATTATTATCCTATACCCAAAACAAAATGAGTATAAAGAAAGAAAATTAAAGACCAATATTACTCATAAATATAGATTTAAAAAAGAATATTAAAACAATATTAACAAATATAATTTATAAAGAATTACTATCTATCTATCTATCTATCTATCTATCTATCTATCTATCTATCTATCTATCTATCTATCTCTATTTATCTATCATTTATAAGCCTAAGCAACTGTTACGACCAAAAGCCTGGAACAACCGGAATGACTGGTCAACCAGTTGTTATGATGTGCACTGACCACCAGGGGGCAGGCGCTCAACACAGAAGCTGCTACCTGTTGGTCAGTGCGCTCCAACAGCCAACCTCCGATGGTCCCTCCCCATCGCAGTCCCTCTCCCCTCCTGGACAGCCCCCTTGATAGATCTCTAGTACTATAATAAAGTGAGGTTTATTTTAGGGATATAAGACTGTTTCAAAACTTGAAAATGATTAAAGTAATTCACCATATTAAAAAGTTGGAGAAAAATCACATGATCATATCAACTGAAGCAGAATAAGCATTTGATAAAAAGTTCAACAGCTAACATCATATTAATGGGTAAAAGACAATATTTTACCTTTAAGATTGGGACTGAGGCAAAGATGTCTGTGCTCGCCACTCTTATTTAACACTAGAGGCCTGGTGCATGATATTTGATTGGGAGGGCGGGTCCCCTCAGCTTGGCCTGAGCCCTTTAGCAGTCCGGGAGCCCTCAGGGGATGTCTGACTGATGGCTTAGGCCCACTACAGCTGTCAGTAGGACATCCTTAGTGCTGCCTCAGAGGCGGCAGTGGCTCCCATCACCACTGCTGTGCTCGCCAATTGTTAACTTGCTTTGTGGCTGAGTGGTACTCCCCCTGTGGGAGCACACTGACCACCAGGAGGCAGTTCCTGTGTTGAGTGTCTGCCCCCTGGTGGTCAGTGCACATCATAGCAACCAGTTGTTCCATTGTTTGGTCAATTTGCATATTACCCTTTTATTATATAGGATAGTACTAGAAGTCTTAAGGAGCACTTAAGTATTGATAAGAAAATTAAGCTGAAACCGGTTTGGCTCAATGGATAGAGTGTCGGCTTGGGGACTGAAAGGTCCTGGGTTCGATTCCGGTCAAGGGCATGTACCTTGGTTGCAGGCATATCCCCAGTGGGGGATGTGCAAGAGGCAGCCGATTGATGACTCTCTCTCATCGATGTTTCTAACTCTCTATCTCTCTCCCTTCCTCTCTGTACAAAATCAATAAAATATATTTAATAAAAAAAAGAAAATTAAATAAAACGCATACATATGGGAAGGGGAGAAATTTGTTGAGGACATGATAGTTTATATAGAAAATGCCAAAGAATCTACAAAAAAAAAAAAAAAAAAAAAGCCTTCACAGAACAAGTGAATCAGAAAGATAATAGGATACAGCAATCCATAATACAATATCAGTTGTATTACCTTAATTTGAGAATATCTCTATTTCTGATTCATTCCTTAAAGATATTTTCATTGGATACAGAGTTCTAGGTTAATGTTTTTTGTTTTTTTTTTTCATTGAAAAATGCTATACTTCCTTTGGCCTCTATGATTTCTGATGAAAATGAATCTATTGTTACTTGTTTCTCCCCCAACTCCTTCATGTAAGGTGTCAGTATTTTGCTTTCAAGAGTTTGCCTTTAGTCTTTAGAAGTTTGATTATGATGTATCTTAGAACAGATTTATTTATATTTATCTGTTTGGAACTTACCAGTTTCTTGAATATTTAGGTTTATAACTTTTGCCAAATTTGGGCAATTTCCAATAATTATTTCTTTGAATAATTTTTTTCAGCCTTACCCTTCTTCCCCTTTTCTCTGGATGATGTAAATGTTAGATCTTCTATATTACAGATACCGTGGCTTTGTTCATTTAAAAAAAAATCTATTTTCCTGGAGCAGTGGGGGCTTGCCTAGGGTGGGAATGGCTGGGGGAGGGGGAAGGGTCAATTGGGGGGATAAAGGAGACATATGTAAAACTTTAGACAATAAAAAAATCTATTTTCTCTCTGTTGCTCAGATTGGGTAATTTAAAAAAAAAAAATACAATGCTTCATAAATCTGCGTGTCATCTTTGTGCAGGGGCCATGCTAATCTTCTCTGTATCCTTCCAATTTTAGTATATGTGCTGCCGAAGCAAGCACTTAGATTGGGTAATTTTGATTCTATTTTCAAGTTCATTGATTCTTTCCTCTGACTTCTCCATTCTTTGTTGAGCTCATCCATTGATGATTTTATTTTTTTCAGATTTTGGTTATTGAATCTTTTGGTTGTAAAATTTCTATTTGGTTCTACTATGTACTTCTCTTATTTTGATGAGATGCACTATTTATCCATTTGTTTCAAGTATGTTTATAACTGCTCGTTAAAGCATTTTTTTTTATGTCAGCTGCTTTAAAATCTTTTTTTTAAAGATAATTTCAACATCTGTGTCATTTCAGTATTGTAGTCTTCTCATTCAAGTTGAGATTTCCCTGGTTCTTGATATGATGAGTGATTTTTAAAAAATTGTATACTGGACATTTAGGGTATTATGTTATAAGACCCTGGATCTTATTTAGATCTTCTGCTTTAGCAGGCCTCCTCTGATACTCTGCCAACGGGGAAAACGAGCTTTCTAGGTAATTATTGCCAGGTGGGTTGTAACTCCATTTGGCCTCTGATTACAACCCAGAGGGGAAGGTACCTTGTTACCAGTATCTCTGACATGGCCCCCACTGACACTCAGGGGATGGAGAAGCTTCTTTACTATCAGGTGGGCATGAAAATTCTGTCTTTCCACTAGTCCTTCATTGATACCATCCTGTCCTGGAAGTAAAAGGGTTCCTCATTGCTGCTCCCCACATGCCTCCACTCTTCCTCCTCTGACACCATCTTAGGGTCAGAGATAACTTTTTAATGTCGGGTAGGAGGGAGTCCAGGCTCATACACCAATTCCATGGACACCAGGGGAGGAGGTCTTGTTTCCACCAAGTAGGGATAAAAGTCCTGGATCCCCAGTAGGCCTTCTCTGATTATCCTCATAGCAAGCTGTCTCAGAAAAGGGATGCACTAGAATCTCTGAAGTCTTTCTGATCCCTGTGATTGTGAACTTTGTATAGGGGAGAAAGTGATGATTTGGATTTGTTTCAGGAAGAGAGATAGCTGTGTATGTGTGAGGGAGCTTTATAAAAGCACAGCCCCTGGCCTGCCTTTGTCATTAAAAAATATATATTTTATTGATTTTTTACAGAGAGGAAGGGAGAGGGAGAGGAATAGAGAGTTAGAAACATAGATTCAGCTGCCTCCTGCATACTCCCCACTGGGGATGTGCTTGCAACCAAGGTACATGCCCTTGACGGGAATCAAACCTCGGACCTTTCAGTCAGCAGGTCGATGCTCTATCCTCTGGGCTAATGGGGTTAGGACTGCCTTTGTCTTTTGAAACCTTAGGGAGTTTCACTTGAGTCTTGTGTAAAACTGTAGAGAACATATTTTCAGATTTCTGCACAGTAAGGGCTGTCTGAACAAAGAACATTGAAACCTGGGTTAAAAGATAAGTCTTGGCTATTTACTTGAAGACCCAAAGACATCTGAAGAAATTTAGACTTATTTCACTGTGTTTGCATTTCAAAGGGGTAAAAAAGGAGTCAGTTGCTTATATTCCAGAGGGCTGTAAATGCCAAGGTTTTCCCCAGAAGTGGAGGGGAAAAGATGTGAACTATTTAAACTCCAATATTAATAGTTTTGGGGTCTCTCTTTTGCATATAAAACTCCCTTATGTGCAGGATGACATCTGGTTTTCATTGTGGGGTATTGGGCATGGGAACTGGCACAACTATTGCTGGAAGTAATAATAACTGTGATATTATTTACTTTCAGGATAAAATGAACAAATACAGATATACTCACCACAAATGGGAGGATGCACTCGTGTTGATTTTGCACCATGTATAAGCTGAAAAGGGACATGCGGCTGGGGCCCATCAAGCTGCAGGCTAGAGAGAAGAAGTTCTGCATAGCCTCACAGAGGTTGGAGCAGATGTCAGCCCAGGATGGTAGAGAGATATGCACAATGAGAAGCCTCGGAGGTTGCTGGTAAATCTGCGAGGAAGTGGAGGGCCCTTTACCAGTAGTTCGCCCATGATACATGGCAGTCAGACTAGAGGAGGAACTGTAGCCACCACCTTGATATTCTCTACACCTATAGGGGAGAAAGAGAAACCACTTCGTAAAACTGAATTATATGCTCTGTTAAAACAGAAAGTCCAAAAAGAAGTCACTGGGGCCATACCGGTTTGGCTCAGTGGATAGAGTGTCGGCCTGTGGGCTGAAGAGTCCCAGGTTCGCTTCTGGCCAAGGACATGTACCTTGGTTGCGGGCACTTCCCCAAGAGGGGCTGAGCAAGAGGCAGCTGATCGATGCTTCTCTCTTATTGATGTTTTAAACTCTCTATCCTTCTCCCTTCCTCTGTAAAAAAATCAATAAAATACATTAAAAAAAAAGAGAAGTCACTGGGTACTAACTCAAGCTTTTCTAAGCAGGCTACCCCATCTTTTTTTTTTTTTTTTTTTTTTTTTTTTTTTAAGGTATAATTCCATTTCTGTGCAATGTCCTGAACAGGCAAATCCATAGAGACAGAGAGTAAATTGATGGTCGGGAAGAGGTTAAGGGGAGAGAGAAATGGAGAACGACTGCTAATGGATAAAGTGTTTCTTTTAGAAGGATGAACATTCTGGAATTATAGAGTGTAATGGATGCCCACACTTGTGAATATAGTAAAAACCACTGATTTATACACCTTAAAATGATGAGTGTTTTGGAAGGCTATCTCATCTTAATAGCTCCTAAGGGATCTAGATATTTGCCTGTAATGTAAGGCTGAGAATACTTAGAGATTCTGAGTAGAACTAATGAAAAAGTTACACAAAAGTCAAACTTCAGTCTCAGAGTAAGCCAAATCCCCTCATAAACTTTCTTTTTAAAAAAATTCTTGCCAATACCGGTTTGGCTCAATGGATAGAGCCGCAGCCTGCAGACCAGACTGAAAGGTCTCGCGTTTGATTCTGGTCAAGGGGCATGTACCTTGGTTGCGGGCACATCCCCAGTAGGGGGTGTGCAAGAGGCAGCTGATCGATGATTCTCTCTCATCGATGTTTCTAACTCTATTTCCCTCTGTCTTCCTCTCTGTGAAAAATCAATAAAATATATTAAAAAATTCTTTATTGTTGAAAGCATTACATGTCTCCTTTTCCCCTTATTGACCTCTCCCAGCCCACCCCTACACTTACTTTATTAGCATTTATTGTGCTGTATAGTAATTTGTTCCTATGACTGTTTCTCCCACTTATATTGTGAATTTCCCAAGGGTGGAGAACCTGTTTTGTCAACTTTATTTATCAGTGCTTAACATATTTATTTTTTAAATTAAATTTAAATTCTTTATTGTTTAAAGTATTTCATATGTCTCCTTTCTCTCCCATTGACCTCTCCCTGGCTGCTCCCACCCTCCAGCACATGCCCTCACCACCCTATTGTCTGTGTCTATTGGTTATGCTTATATGCATTGCATGCATACAAGTCCTTTGGTTGATCTCTTAGGCACTCCTCCTACCCTTCCCTCTGAGGTTGGACGGTCTGTTCGATGCTTCTAACACACTGATTTTTTTTGGGTACATAGTAATTATTAAAATGGAAAATATGACCACATTTTCCTCTTCAAGACCCAGTCAAGATCCTTCATGACTTAACCTTCAGCTTTATTGGTCAACTTCCTAGAAAAACATATCTAACTAATACTAAATCACAAAGAATATTTAAAAACCCAAATACTCTATAACTATTTAAGAAACTTAATTGGTAGTCTAATATCTTCCTACAAAGTAAATGACAGGGAAGATGATTCCATTGATGAGTTCCATCAAACTCTCAAAGACTAAAAATTTCAATCTCAATTTATTTCAGAGAATAAGAGAGGAAACATTGCTCAATTAATTTTACTAGGTTAGTATAACCTTTGATATAAAAATCAGAGTACTATAAGAAAACAATTATAGGATAACCTCATCAGTGAACTTAGATGTAAACATTTTGAACAAAATATAAACAAATAGAAAACAATGACACATAAAAAGAATTATGAAATAAAACTCATTGCTTGCAGATGCTATAGTTGTGTATATAGAAAATATAAAATAATTTAGTTTTATCATTTTCTTCAAAAGGTCTCACATTTCATTAAATTTTATTCTTAGAGATTTGCCATTTTTAATGTTAATTACATAATATCTTTTAAAATTTGTTTTCAGTTTGTTGCTAATGAATAGAAATAGAATTAATTTCTATATATTAATTTTTAAAATTTAATAATTTTGCTGTACTTTCTTACTAATTTTAATGATTTATCCATAGATCCTTTGGATATTTTTGTTCACAATCAAATATGGTGAATAATTACATACATAAGGTACATGAACAAAATCAGATCATAGCAGCATAAAGAGTATCCATGAGTCTTGTTCACAATTACCCCACACTGCAAACAAGACATATGCTAATCAATGATAGAAAGGATAAATTATGGTATAGTTACACATGTAGAAATGATAAGTGATATAATACAGAAATTGAGAGATGAGTCAAACATAAATGTAGTTGTAGAAGAGCTGAGAATATTGACAATGACCTCATTTGATGACTCTATATCAGTGGTTCTCAACCTTTCTAACGCCACGACCCTTTAAACAGTTCCTCATGATGTGGTGACCCCCAACTATGAAATTATTTTCATTGCTACTTCATAACTGTAATTTTGCTACTGTAATGAATGGTAATGTAAATATGTGTTTTCTGATGGTCTTAGGCTCGAGACCCACAGGTTGAGAACTGCTAGCAGGGTCGCCTAAGACCATCCGAAAATAGATATTTACATTATGATTCATAACAGTAGCAAAATGTTTGAGGCAGCTGATCAATGTTTCTCTCTCATTGTTTCTATCTATCCCTCTCCCTTCCTCTTTAAAAAAACGAACAAATAATTAAAAAAATATATTTTATTGATTTTTTTACAGAGAGGAAGGGAGAACCGGAAACATCGATAAGAGAGAAACATTGACCAGCTGCCTCCTGCACACCCCATACCGGGGATGTGCCTGCAGCCAAAGGCATATGCCCTTGACCGAAATCAAACCTGGGATCTTTCAGTCCAAAGGCTGACACTCTAATCAATGAGCCAAACAGGTCTCAGCCAAACAAATAATTTAAAAAAAAAAAAGATCACTTTGACAATTGCAGCTTGCACCGTCATTTTTAGATCCCACACTGTGTGCAATTCCAAGACTAGACTTTAATGAGGTAAGAGGCCATTCTCTTCCCCATATCCTCAAACATGATTAATGCATTTGATGTGTCTGGGCATAGTACTAAGCAGCATCTGACTACATCTGACCTTGTACTATATTCTCCACTTTTGCCAAGAACACCCACTTACCGGTGTCCCTGCAACCAGGTTAAACTTGGAACCGAGCCTCCAATCACCAGAAGCCATCAAGTTACTCCCTTACTAAAAACCTTTCAATGGTTTCCAATTATACTTGGGACAAAATCCAAAATCCGTACTCTGGCTCCGAAATTCTGTATACATCTGTATGCGAGCTGGCTGAAGCCATGCCACCTCCTGACCAACCCCTTTCTAGCCTACCCCATCCCGGGGTGCCTTTCACATCCACAAATTGTGGGCCTCTCACTGTGGTTCCCACTGTCTGAGCATTCCCCTCCTTAATCCCCTCATCCTTTAAATAACAGACTTTAGGTCTTAATAGGTTAAGGCCTCCCATAAAAGCTTTTATAGCCTTTAGGACAATTTATGTGTGCCTAATGATTTTCAGTGTTTCTCCCTCCCTCAATGCTCAATTAAAAATTTCATGGATCTTGAGCACTCTTAAAATTTATTTTTAAAAAATATCCTTATTGATTTTAGAGAGGAAGAGAGAGAAACAGCCATGATGAGAGAGAATCATTGAACGCTGCCTCCTGCATGCCCCACACTGGGATGGAGCCCGCAGTCACAACTGGGGCATGTGCCCTGACCGGGAATCCGACCGTGACCTCCTGGTTCATAGGCAAAGCTCAACCACTGAGCCATGCGGAAGGGGCGATCCAGAGCAGCACTTTTGTCTCCCCGGACTCTCACCTCATTAAAAAAAACCCAAAAACAATTAATGAATAGATTTTTTTGTGGGCCCTAAAAATTTCACAATTTTTCCTGACGTAAGAAAAAAAAAATCAAAACATTTTTTGATTCTTTCAAAAAAATTTTTTTTTCTTCTGACTTTACAAGAAGTTAGAACATTTTCGTGGGTCACATGGATGGCCCAGTCTCCAGGCTTGGAGAGCCCTCCCGGGAGACAAGGCGTCTGCCCGTCCTCTGGTCAGAAACCCCGGCCAGGGCTGAGGTGGGCCCCTCTGGGTGTCCCGCTGGCCCCAGGCCCGAGCTGGCCGGAGCCCAACCTTGGAGGTGGCTTCTTCCGTTTCCCTCCGGTTTCCTCCCTCGGGTCTCTCTTAGCCCTCCTCCCGTCCGGAGGTGTGGAGAGGCGCTGGCATTCCCCCCCTTGCTGTGGGAAGACCAAACCCCATCACCCGCCCTTTGGCTCCCCGCGCGCCTCTGCGGAGGAAGGCGCCCCGGCGCCTCAGGCCAGCGGCTCGCCGCGAGAGTGGCCTCTGCGTCCACCTCAGGATGCACCCCAGGACCTGGGTCTCCAAGGCCGCGGGGAAGTGGGGGAAGTGAGGTGTGTGTGTGTGTGTGTGTGTGTGTGTGTGTGTGTGTGTAAACCATTCTTTGGCCCTCGGTAGAGTTTTGGATCTCTGTGGAGAATAGTTACACCTGACACTTCCTGTCAGCTACCCTCCTGGAACGTTCCAGTTGGTACTTCCACTGTGCTCTTGGCTTTCACCTTTCTCTTCTGCATCACTCACTCGCTCGCTCGCTCACTCACTCACTCACTCATTGAGTCAGTCACTCTTTTCCTCAGTCAATATTTGTTGAGGGCCTACTATGTGCCAGGCCCAGTGCTAGGACCGGGGGTCCAGTGGACACACAAACAACGGTCCCTGCCCTCACGGGAGCTGGAGTGCAGTCTTCCCTTAGGAAGCTCTCGGGAGTCCTTCCAGACCCTCCCCCAGTTCCATGCGGCTCTGCCCCTCTCCTCATTCCCGTTTTCATTGCCTTGCTGTTGATCCCGATAGTCCCCTTGACAAAGTCCAGCTGGGGTAGGGGTGCCCTGGTCCCACCAGTGGGTTGGTTACTCTGGGTCTTCAACTCTACCTGGTTAGACGGGAATTCCCGTCTCTGCTCAGCCCTCACGCAGGCGAGGACTCCCGCGGCCCAAGAGCAGAAAGAACTCCCACCTACACCTGGGCCTAGCCCCGCCCCCACAGGGTGGGGCATCTCGGCTCAGCCTGCGCTCCACTCAACCCTGATTGGCTGGAGGAGAAAAGCAGCCCTGCCATTGGCCCCTTCCTGAAGGGGCGGGGCGGGGGTGCGTCCGGTCTGCCGGCGGTAGGCCGAACCTGGCCGAGGAGAGACGAGTGGGACCGAGGCCCGCGGCGCGGCGGCCCCGAGCAGACACGGTAGGGTGCGCCCCACCCGGCGGCCAGGCGGAGCCAAAGATGCCGGCCTCAGCCGCGCGGCCCCGCCCGGGCCCCGGGCCGCCTCCCGGCGCGCATTTCCCGCTGATGCTGTTGGCGGTGCTGAGCGGCCCGGTGTCCGGCCGCGTTCCGCGCTCGGTGCCCAGGACCTCGCTTCCCATCTCCGGTAAGGCGTGGGCGTCCCCGCCCTCTGTCCCGTTTGCCGCTCCCTGGCGCCGCCCGCGGGTGCCCACACCCTGCACCCTCCTGCTCTCCTGTGCTCCTGACCCTGGCAGCCGCCTCCTGGGCTCCTCCGCGCCGGCCATCCCCGCCCGGGACCAGGCGGGACTCCCACGCGGTGCTGCTGCTCCATCGCATCCCGGGCCGGGGCCTCGCGCCTCGGCCCCCGCGACACGCCCAGGCGGCTCCCGCGGCCCCTTGTCCGCAGAGTTCAGTCCGTGGCGGTGCAGACACGGGCACTGAGGCCCAGGGAGGGTTTGGGAGTTGCCGGAGGTCATCTATTTCTAAGTTCTCTCTCCCTTATTATCCTCCTACCAGACATGCACCTGTGTCGGTCACGCCAGTTTGGTACCCAATCCTGGCTTCCAAACCCAGAGATCTCTCATTCTATCCCATCCGCCCATTCTTTTGATGGCCAGCCCAGCAATTTCATCTGCCCACTTCACAAATTCATTTAATCCCCCACCCCCTTTTGTCCTGCCCACAGCCCTAATATTCCCTAACCCACTTCCCAGTCCTTTTACATCTTTGACACCAGCTCCCATTCTCCCACAATCAGATCTCTCATAACCATACTTTCCTAACGTTGCCTGCTCTCCCCACTCGTTCCTTCTATTGGATGCTGGGAAACCACTCAGTGAGTTGATTTGACATTCTGTTTAAATGATTTTTAAAAAATATACTTTATTGATTTCTTACAGTGAAGAAGGGAGAGAGATAGAGAGCTAGAAACATTGATGAGAGAGAAACATCGACCAGCTGCCTCTTGCACACCCCCTACTGGGGATGTGCCCGCAACCAAGGTACATGCCCTTGACCGGAATCGAACCCGGGACCTTTCAGTCCGCAGACCGGCGCTCTACCACTGAGCCAAACCGGTTTCGGCTGTTTAAATGATTTTTAAAGTCTTCAGAAAGAAAAAAGGAGGAGGGAGATATGGCCCTTTCAAAAAGCTATGCAAGAAGCCAGGGGATGCCACCAGGTTAAAAGTGGCCATTGGAGTGATCCACACTCTTAAGGCTTTCTGCGGAGGTGGGCGTGAGTGTGGCTGTGGATCTTGTTTTCTTCTCAGTGGGCACTGAGTGTTAGCACTTTGGGCAGACAGAACCAGTGAAGCTGAGAGTACAACCTGTTGGTTGGCAAAAACTCTCAACTAGTCGTTGATATTAACTTAGTCTAAACTTCAGACCATTGATAGAGGACGTTTTGAATCAAAGAGGACAAATGATTGGAGTCTGGGCTTTCAGGTTGTGCTGGAGCAATAGCCACTATAGAGGTGTGATGACCAGGCTGGGTTGATGTCCAGGGATCCAGAGAGGTCTAATGGCAAGGTGAAGCGGAGCTGGGGATACAAAAGGAGGTTGAGGGAACCAGGGCTTATTCTAAGCACGAGAGCCAGCACAGTCATGAATATGCTTGTAGGAAGATGGGTGAGGCCCCATACATCACACATCTAGGAATGAATGGCTGCTGGCCATTCGATCAGCCTTGAGGGTAGCCGAGCAGATGATACAGGTAGAACAGAATTGTATTGGTGCGGGAATAGGTTCCCCAGAGCTAGACATTGAGCTAAGAAGGCATGCTAACTTATTTGGTATAATCTTTAAAATAAATAAGAAGATATTTTTTCCCCATTGCTTTTTTTTTTTTTCTTCAGAGAGAGAGGAAGGGAGGGAGGGGGAGAGAGCAAGAGGGAGAGCGAGGAAAACATCGATGTGAGAGTGAGATAAACATAAGAATTTTGAATGCTGAATTTAGATTTAGATTTGGTCAAAACAGAGCTCATACTTAAGGAAGGAAGAAAAGAACGATTTGTACTATGTGTCAGATGCTCCCACATGTTATTTCATTTAATTCTCTCAATGACGCTGGATGGTGGTATTTACAAACGAGGAAAGTAATGCTTAGAGAGGGCAAGTAACTTACTCAGGATCATAAAGCTGGTAAGTGAAAGAGCCAGATTTAACCTTGGGCTGATCCATTTCCAATGTTTACACTCTTGCCCGCTACACTTTATATACCTCTTTGCTTTTGGGGTAGAATGGAGATGGGGGGAGATCAGGGGTTGTGGGAGAGAGAGGAGGTAGTCTCCTAATGTGTTAGTGAAAAGAGTGTAGCATTTCCCTTCTAAGTAAAAGGAAGTTATTATTAAATAGTTTTTTTTTTAAAGGAAAATTTATTTATTTATTTATTTTATTTATTTTTACATATTTTATTGATTTTTTTTGCCCTCCTTCCTCCCTCCCACATATCCCCTCCCTCCCCAGAGTTTTATGTCCATTGGTTGTACTTATATGCATGTATACAAGTCCTTGGGTTGACTTATTATCTCCCCCAGACCCTCCTCCCCTCCCCGCTGTAATTTGACAATCTGCTTATTGCTTTACTGTCTCTATATCTATCTAAAAAAGGGAAATTTAGAGATTTGAAACATTTATAGTTATTTTCAAATTGTGTGTCAGGTTGCTATGAATAAATTTCACAGACTTAATATTTGTTATTTTGTTATTAAAATAATGTTATTTTAATAAGGTGTCCTTTTTTAAAAAATATATATTTTATTGATTTTTTACAGAGAGGAAGGGAGAAGGATAGAGAGTTAGAAACATTGATGAGAGAGAAACATCAATCAGTTGCCTCCTGCACACCCCTCCTGGGGATATGCTCACAACCAAGGTACATGCCCTTGACCAGAATCTAACCTGGGACCTTTCCATCTGCATGCTGACGCTCTATCCACTGAGCCAAACTGGTTTCGGCTAAAGTGTTCTATTTTTATAGAAAAAGCATACTTGACTGTATTGTGTGCTAAATATTCTGGCCTCATCAGTTATTTATCTCTGGGAAAGTTACATGGCCTGACAGGCTCTGTCTTTTCCCCCTGATGATTGATAAATAAATGGAAGAAAACAAAAATTGTCTTTTTTGGCCTTGTGGACCTAAACCTTAGGAAGCAATGGCTGATATCACTCTTTCCTCTCCTTCTGCCAGAGGCTGACACTTACCTTACCCGGTTCACCGTCCCTCAGACATACAATTACTCTGTTCTCCTTGTGGATCCTGCTGCTCATACACTTTATGTCGGCGCCCGGGACGCCATCTTCGCTTTATCTCTGCCCTTCTCAGGGGAGAGACCTCGAAGGGTGAGAGATGGGAGTGGGGAAGACCCCAGAGCATGTGATTAGATCCATGGCTTGATGGGAAGTCAGGGAGGGGTGTTGTGATTGGAGGTGAAATGTTAGTGAAAATGAATAGGGGAGGCAATCAAGTACATTATGTCAGCTGAGGGTGTTTGGGGGAATCATGGTGATGAGGGAGGCTGTGAGGGAGGTTCATGATGAGGGGGGGAAGCCACAGTGACCAGGTTTTAGGTGATAGTAGGGCAGAGGAATCATTAGAATCACATTAATCTAGGACAATAGCTTTCAAACTTTTTTAATTTTATATTTTATTGATATTTTATAGAGAGGAAGAGAGAGGGGCAGAGAGCTAGAAACATCGATGAGAGAGAATCATCGATCAGCTGCCTCTTGCACACCCCCCACTGGGGATGTGCCCACAACCAAGGTGCATGCCCTTGACCGGAATCGAACACGGGACCTTTCAGTCTGCAGACCAAGCCAAACCGGTTTTGGCGCTTTCAAACTTTTTTGATTACCCCTTAATAAGAAATATATGGTATATTTTGACTCTGTACACAAAAGTGTGTACTGAAAGAAACTTTCTTGAACCAATTTCTACTCGCCTATATGAGATACATCCTGACATATTTTGTTAAAAGTAATGTTGGCTGTGATTTCATAATTGATTTTATTACTCATTTAAAAACAGTGCTCTGGGGTGAGGGGTGTCTCTGAAGTTCCCAAATTGATGGAGGTTGTGGAACTGTGTTATCTACCCTGACTCGGGAGGAGTAGGGGGAGAGTCAGGGGGAAATGGTTGTTTCTCCTTTCTCAGATTGACTGGATGGTGCCTGAGGCCCACAGACAGAACTGTAGGAAGAAAGGCAAGAAGGAGGTAGGTGTAAATCTGGGCCCTGTCCTGAGTATCAATTGAAATGGCCCAGCCCTGACTCTGTCAGGCCCCTGCAGTGCTACCATCCCAATGGGCCAGGCAAGGACTCTAACACCATATCATCACCCATTGTTTCTGATCCCAAAGCTGCATCTAACTGGCCTGACACTACCCTACCTTTCCTTGTACCTGCTGCTTCTGATTCTCTCTAACCATCTCTGACCTCCAGGACGAATGTCACAATTTTGTCCAGATTCTCGCCATTGCCAATGCCTCTCACCTCCTCACTTGTGGCACCTTCGCTTTTGATCCGAAGTGCGGGGTTATTGTGAGTGACAGGGGTGGGAGGATGGGAAGGGTTTTCTGTTAGTGACCATGATGGGGGGCGTGTTTAAGGCAACCCTTGTGCATGATAAGCTTTGGGGGTGAGGGATGTCCTCACTGGGCGGAGCCTTTGCCACTGGAGGGGGTACGACAGGGTGGGGAGGGAGGTTGTCTGTAGAAGGTAAGTTATACAAAGTCTAAAGGGAGATGTAGTGGGACAGTGAAGAAAGTTTGGGATGCTAGCAGAGCTGGGGAGAGGAGAAATCCAGGAGAGACTTCAGAGCTAGTAACTTATGTTCCCCTTGTCCTATGAATGCTTTGTCCAGGCAGCCTGGGTCCATCTCCTACACCCCCCCCCCTGACCATTTCTTAATCAGCACTGTCCATGCCTCTTTCTTCCACCCTGGCATGTAACTCTCACCACCTTCTCCCATAGCCACTGCCAAGTTCACTGAATGTGAAACTCTTCTCATGAGCTTCTAATTAGCACCTGCTGGTACCATCTGGCTTGATCTTGCTTTCAAGGTGGCTACTCTGTCAACCATGTTTTCTTCCAGGTCCTGTCCTCTGCTGCTGAAGCCCTGACATTTCCACCCCCACCCCCTGGCAGGCTGGGGACATATTTACCCTTAATCACATCTAGGCTGGTCTTGGTAACAAAAGTCCCTGGGCCTGTGATATCTCAGGAAGGGTCTAGATGTTTTTGAATCCTCATCTTTTCCCATCAGTTATCTAGTAGTCAATCATTGGTCCTCTGGTAGCACACCTTTGTGACAAGGCCCTAAGATGAGTTGAAAGCCTCACTCATCCTTTGCATCCAGTGACTTCCCGTCCTACTCCATGAAGCAGTAGGAGGGAGTGCAATGACTCCTTTTCCTGACCCTGATCTTTAACTTTAGTCTTGACTTCACCCTTCTGCAATCTTCAGTAATCCTTGCCATTTGGATCTAGTCAGTGTGTATCTCCAACCCTCTCTCTGTTAAAGGCCATCCTCATATCTCTGGCTTAGAATGCTATAATTGCATATACTCGATATATAGCCAGTCCCTGTGGGCTGCCTTGGGCTCAGGCTGAGTCCTTTTCATAATGCAAGTGATAGGCTCCCTGCTGCGTGTGGCTAGCTCCCTCATCTTGTCATCCTGGGAAGGATTCCTAGGGCAGGTGGTATTGAAAATCTCTATATTTTCTCAGGTAATATTGAGTCTCTGGTTTTCCTATAGTCCTCACAAAGCTCACAAAGTGGCAGTAGAATTGTCATTGTCGTATTTGTCCTTTTTTAGTCTGTGCAAGCTCAGGGAGCCCATGGGTATGAATATCAACCATGGCTTATAGAAAATAGACTTACTCCCAGCTAATCTCCCAGGTCTTCTATTCTTCCTTGGCTCTCTGAGGTGGGACCCTAATGGTGGTTAGGTTTTCAGACAGAAAATGCTCTGGACATACCTGTCAGGATTGGCGTGACTTGGACCCCTGTCCACTCTCAAGGAGCACCAGCATCCAGAGCAAAATCAGGGGTCTGTGTTCTGCATCCCCACAACTTTAGCTCTTTTTCTGAACCTTCTATCTAGCAGGCTCATGAAATGAAGGACTGTCATTTTTTCAAGGCTTGTTTTAGGAGAATATAGGGCACAGAAAGATTAGCTGTGTTAACCCTTCAAGCCACATTCCAAGATTGCCCTCCAGACTTTCTGGATGCTTTCTTTGCCTTTATCTGCCTGTCTTATCCTATCTGCCCATGCTCATCTGCTTGAGCAAGTTCTTGCCATATCCTGAGTTCTGAGACTCTCATGTTCCAGTCTGATGACTTTGAAACTATTCATAACCGTTTTCCGAGAGCTTTGGCTAGCTAGCAGCTCCTGACACGACAGCTTGTTCAGAGAAATGAAGGTTCTTACAAAAGGAAGTTCAGGCATTGGACCTATCAGTTCCAAGAACGTGGAGTGCTGCCCTTCAGTGATAGCTCATTAGCTTGTGGAGGTCAATGTTTTGTTTTGTTGAGGGAACTTCAGCATATAACAGAGAAAAATGTTAGACTTACATTACAACAAGACTTTACATTCAGTTGAGTATCTGTTTTATCCCAGACTTGGCACTGGGTATTTTACATTCATGATTGAATTTAATTCTCATCACCCCATTATAATATATAGGTATTATTTCTTTTCATTTTACAGGCAGTGAAATATAAGTTCAGATAAGTTAGGTACCATGTCTAATATTATATACACTGAGTGGTCAGATTATTATGATCTCTGAATGCCACGCAGTGTATATGTGTGTGTGTGTGTGTGTGTGTGTGTGTGTATATATATATATATATATATATATATATATATATAGAGAGAGAGAGAGAGAGAGAGAGAGAGAGAGAAGCCCAGTGCATGAATTCGTGCATGGGTGGTCTTGTCAGCCTGCTGGTCGAACTCCTGGTTGAGGGGACAATTTACTTATTAGCCTTTTATTATATAGGATATACACTGAGTGGCCAGATTATTATGTGTTCAGAGATCATAATAATCTGGCCACTCAGTGTATATCTGCATTGCAGCTCCAACTACCATCCAGTTTATTAGGCTCCAGCAACACCATCTGTCCACACTAGTTTGTGAGCCAGAGATATCCTGGCACGTCCATGCCATAACTTTTATTCCAAATCAGCCACAGTTAACATTTTCTGTTAGTCCTAGGTTGAAATCATCTTGATTTCTATTTTTGGTTATCTTGAAGCCTCTCTTAGTGTATGATGCTTTGCTAAGGTAACTTCTGGCTGGCTCTTACACCTTTTGCCCACACCCAGGTCATTCCTCCTGGAGTCTCTGGATGAGGAAGGCATTACATTAGCAAATCCTCAAATTCTGACTGAGCTTCAGGCCTTCATGACTTTGCAGATTCTCGTCCCCCTTCTCTGTATCCTTGGCTCTGATGCTATCTTTTACCCTTGGGGTGGGTGTGGGGAAAGGATGTCCCTTCTCTTTAGGTGCCTGGGCTTCAGATGGTTCTGTATCAGTCTCTACTTTTCTTTATCCTAAGGGCTTCAGACTTCAGCCTGCTCTGCTCTTGGCCTCCTTGTCCTTAAGCACATTCTCCAGCCAGTTGCAAACCCTGCAGTTCAGCATTTCAAAGGAAAGATCTGCCTTTCAGCCTCTCCGTGCCATCTAGGGCCATCATAGGTGCTCCTTCATGTGGTAGTTGGGTGTTAGGGGAATTGAAGGGACAAAAATAAACTGATGAAAAGGGATGGCAGAGATGGGAAAAGCAGGGATGGGCGGGGAATCAGGATTAACACATTGGGGATATGGGGATGGTAGCAGAGGAGTGGGAATTGGGCTTTTCCTTCATCTGAACATCTTTGTGATTTTCATCATGAACCCTATGACCCCTAAACCGATTGCCCCCTTCTGGTCTGTAGGCCGTGTCCAGTTTCCAGCAGGTTGAAAGAATTGAGAGTGGCCGGGGGAAATGTCCTTTTGAGCCAGCTCAGCGATCAGCAGCTGTAATGGCTGGTGAGTGGGAGAGATAAGAACCTGTGACTTCTTACTATAATTGCTTCCTTCCCCACCCCTGCTGTTGAAATTTGTGTCCTCTCCTTCGTTTCCTAGGAATGTCTATTATTCCCATGTCTCTTTCTAGCCTTCCCTATTCTTCCCAGCGTGCCTGTGCCCCGCTTTTCTCCAGAGTACTATTTCCCTGGGTTCTCCCTAGAGAATGTGTTCTCTGCACCTCTAATGTGAGTGCTTCCTCTGCTGACCTCATTCCCACCCCCCCTCATTTTTTTGTTGTTTTTGTTTTGTTCATAAGAGGACTTTGCTACAATGCATATTGTAATACACTTGGAAAAAGTATAAAGAACATATGAAGTCTTCTAGAACAGAACTGTTCGAAAGAACTTTGTGTGATGATAGGAATGCTCTGTATCTTTGCAGTCCAAAAGTAGCCACTAGCTACCTGTGGCTTTTGAGCTCTTGAGATATGATTAGTTCGACTAAAGGAAAGGGTTTTTGGTTGTATCTAATTTCAGTTTAAATGTAAGTGGGTATAGTGGCTACTATATTAGCAAAGTTCTAGAGTATCTACTCAGAAAACCACCGTTAATATTTTAGGATACGTCCTTTTAGCCTGTTGTAATGTGTATGCAAGCACATATTTTACTGGCCAGTCCTTTGTAGCTCAGAGGAGTCAGTAATGACTATTCAATAAGTTCCTGCTGTTACTTCTTTGAACAAGCCATATTCAGTTGCTCAAGTGTTGAGTGGTTCTTTCACAGTTTATGTATAAATCTTTCCTGGAGAATGACTGCTTAATTCTCAGTAGCCACAAAGTGAATTGTTTGTGTCCCACACAGCCTGTATTTTAGATTAGAGTACTCCACATGCATCCTCAAAATTAAGTGAGGATCTAGCCATTTTCTCATGATAGTGTAAAACAAGCAGGTTAGTAGAAATTTTATGTGTGTGTGTATATATTATAAAACTTTAAAATGTCATGCTACATAGGTATAATTTTAAATTTTGTTATGTAACTTTATATCATAGGCATATCTGTGTAATTTAATAATTCTTTATAAAGAGAATTTTTAATGACATCATGTATTGCCCAACCTGTAAGCATACAGTAATTTAATTAAGCAACTCCAAATAATTTCTATAAATTAATTTTATTTAGTTTAAGTTTTTGCTATTATCCATTAACACTGTAATGAACATTTTTGTGTATAAATATTTGTCCTTATTTTAGATTGTCTCCTTAAGATTTCTGGAAAGAGATTACTATATCAAAGGGTGTGAGCATTTTATGGCTCATTATCTGTTGCTAATTGGGTTTTTAGAAAGAATGTACCAATTTACACCCTAAATCAACAGTGAGAGTGCTTTTTTTCTCACATAAATTTCACCAAAATATATTGTTGTCACTTTAAAAGATCTCCAAGTCCTGATTGATATGGCTTAGTTGGTTGGGTGTCATCCTGTGCACCAGGAGGTTATGGATGGGATTTTTGGTCAAGGGCACGTGCCTTGGTTGCAGGCTTGATACCCAGTGGGGTTGTGCTGGAGGCAATCAATGTGCTCTCACATCGATGTTTTTTTTTCTTCTTTTTTTTCTCTTCTCTCTCTCCTTGTCTCTCTCTCTCTGAAAACCAAAAAACTAGTTCAAAAAAAAAAAAAAAAAAAAAAAGGAAAAAAAGATTGTTGAGACTAAAAATAGTACCTTGTTTTAATTTGTATTTCTTTGAATATTAGTGAAATTGAAAATTTTTCATGTTTTAGTACTATTTTTATTTCTTCTCTCATAAACCCTCTGCTTACTTTCTTGGGTCAATTACCAGATAGGAAATTAAGGTTCCAATCTACAAATTTTCCTTTCTAATTACATTTTTAAAGCAAAATCCTTCTTCAGTGAGAGAGCAGATAAAAACTTTTTTCTTAAAAATTTCCCTCAAACAATTAACATTTTGATTTTTTAAAAACTTCTTTTGATGAATGACATGAGATGAGACCTAAATTAATTTTTCCCAACTAGCTAATCAGTTGACTCATCCATCATACTGTTTTTTCTTTCTTCACTGACTTTAGCTGTGAACTTTGTTATAAAATTGATTTTATCTATACTTTTGTATAATATTTTATGAAAAAAATTGGAATATAAGATCTAACAATAAATTTTTTCTTATATAGGATTTCATAGGAAAAGTCATAAAAGCTATACAAATTAAATACATTTTAGTCAGATAATTAAGGACTTACTTTTTCTGAAAAGAAATAACAAATGTTTTGAAAGTGAACAAAAGAAATAACATAAATATTTTGAAAGTGAACAAAAATAAATACAATATTTGGGTTGTCATTTCTATCATTCACCTATAGTTGATATTGATGAGACCTTTTTTATATTCAAACATATTTGAATGAAATAGTTTAATTGATGGTTTATTTTTCTTGACTTTTTATAAAGCACGTGTGGCAAAATTCTGAGTCAGTCATTTTGAACATTAAGAAAGATAGTGATTGAATATCACTCTTTTTAAAAAAATTTTGTTGAGAGTATTTTAGATAAATCCCATTTGTGAATTTCTTAAAAAAAAAGATTTTAAATTGATTTTTAGAGAGAAAGAAAGGGAGAGGGAGAGAAAAATCAATGTGAGAGCAAAACATCAATCTGCTACTGGAATTAAGCCTGCAACCCCGGGCATGTGCCCTGACTGGGAATCAGAGACCACTTGGGCTGGTGCTCAATCAACTGAGCTACACCAACCAGGGCTGTGAATGTGTCTTGATTCTACATAATTGCTTGTCAGAAACATGACGACTCAATTGCAACAATCTAAGATAACCATTTAACATTCTTTTTTTCAAGCAGTAAACTTTAAGTACATTCAACCTTCTGCTTGTAATTTCTCAGTGTTCCAGTCAGCAAGTGGATTTGCATTAGCATGTGGTTCAAGGGACAGATTTCATAAAGATCATTGCATGATGAAGAAAAATTTCAAAAAGGAGTAAGATTTTCAAAAATTTTTTTTCCCTAAATAATGTTGTCTTTTTTCTTCTTCTTCAGATAATGATGTTGGCTTTCATTTGATAATTGATGGAAGTGATCAGAAATCACTTTCTAACAGTTTAGAATAATTAAGTTTAGACAGTTAACATATAACCTCAATGTCTCTTTCTGTCTCAGATCCATGTGATAGTCAATACCAATATAAAATTTTCTCTCAAGTTCTAAACTTTAAGTAGGTGCCAGTATTTAGTTGGAACTTTCAATGTTGATCTGTTATGCCCTACTATCTTCTGTTTTGAAAATAGTGATATGGAAATAGTGCCAACATTAGGTAGGAACTAGAACCAAATTTCCTAGTTACGAGATATAAAAATGTCCTTAAAGATAATAGAGGTATTTTGAAATAAAAAGTTTTAGTAATGAAAATATTATTAGACTATAATATTTATTAATATAATAAAACATTTTAAATTATAAAAATTACAATGTGCATTGTAGAAAGTTGAGAAAATGTAGAAATGTTAAGAATAAAGTGAAAGGTTTATTTGCAATTCAATCATTATCAGGTAACTACTGTTGTTTTAGACTACTTTTTTTTGTGTCTGTGTGTATTTATAATAAATTGGAATTATTATGCATATTTCACTTAGTATTGTATACTAAACATTTTCTTGTTATAGAAATTAATTATTCAAAATATGATTTCTAGAGACTACATAACATTTATTTCATCATATAGATATTGCATAGCACAATTTAATTATTCCTATAAAATTATTCATTTAGGTTTAAAAACTATTGTTTTTATGAATAATACTGTAGAAGAAATCTTTTCTTTTAAGTATATTTTATTGATTTTTTTACAGAGAGGAAGGGAGAAGGATAGAGAGTTAGAAACATTAATGAGAGAGAAACATCCACCAGCTGCCTCCTGCACACTCCCCACTGGGGATGTACCTGAAACCAAGGTACATGCCCTTGACCGGAATTGAACCTGGGACCCTTCAGTTTGCAGAATGATGCTCTATCCACTGAGCCAAACCCGTTAGGGTGAAGAAATCTTTTTATATAAAATTTTCACATAAATGTCATTAATTGCATGTGAGTAAATCCAAAAAGTAGACTTGCATGGCCAAAGGGTGTAAAGGTTTTTATGGTGCATGATGGATTTATCTAAATTTCTTTCCATTTAGTCCAACTAACTGTGATAAGAGGGCCTGTCTCACTGCATCCTTGTCAGTCCCAAATAATATACATAATAAAGCAAACAAACTGACTTCCTCCAAAGACTAATTTGATGTAATTTTTACTTGCATCTCTATTAGTGAGATTGAACAACTTTTCATTTGTTTATTGGTACTTGTATTTCTTTTGGGAAAAGTCTCCAAAATCATGTCCTCAAATATGACATTTATCTGTACTACAGTTAGATAAAATTAACAAAATTATCTCAGTGTCTCTATTTGCACTGTTCAGATTTGGAAATTTTTAAAAATATTCACGTCAGTAACATTCACATTAGCCTAAAACATCAGTTCCATCCCAATCTCCTTTGAAGAGTCTTTGTCTTTTGTTCATCAGTTTTGGGACCCATTAGATTTCCATGCAGAATCTTCTTCTGTTCTTATTCTATGTGGTTATGATCTCAACCAGCTCTGTGGATTCTGTTTTCACTGCCTTCTGATGCCTCCCAGACCTTATTTGGAGCTACAGACCACACATCCACCTGCCTTCCAGACATCTTTATTTGAAGGTTCCATAGGAATCTCAAAATCAGCATGTCCCAAAGCTCATCATCTTCGCTAACCTTCACCACACTTGCTCCTTCATCAGTGTCCCCTCCGCTGACTGCTTACCCACCTAGATACCCAAGCTAGAGATAGCAGTCATCTCTGGTCTTCCTATCACATCCTATTAAAAAAGAGAGGGGTTTTTATCAAGAAGAACAGAGGGAGGGAACTTTTGCTCTTTCTCTTTAGGAACCTGTCCTGGGTTTGTATCATTTCCTTTTGGTCTCATTGCATCTTTTGTTACTGTATCTGCCAAGGAATACTGCAAATGTTCCAGATGCACTGGGTGCTGCCAGCCCACATCTTAAATCTAGGTGTATCCGCCCCAAAACTAGCATTCACCCACTGAAACCAGATAGCTATACTGTCAAGTCTACAGAGGAAAAGGTAAATGCCACATCTCCAGCTATCTAATTATGGCCTGATAATAGACTGTGTTTTTAAAGAAGATTATCTAGCTGCCCCAATCCTTAGATAAGGAAATGTAGACTGTTAGGGTAGCAGCTATTTATCCTGCGAAGCTCTGATCATGAGAAGAAAAGGAAGTGGAGGAAGTTGTTATAACACATCTGGAAAGCCTGTGCTCACAGGCTTACATCTGGGCAGGTAGAGATGTGAATTGACTTCCACAAATAATTGTGATTCTTCATCCTTTGCAACTTTCAATCTTTTCTTTTGTATTACCAAAATGAAAATATCTCCATTTTTTGGGTTATAAAATTAAATGATGCTAACTATAAAAAGGATTCATTGAACACAAGAAGTCTAAAAAGAAAATGAAAATCACTGGTAATTTCATTAGTCAGAAATAAACTTCATTAACACTGTAGAGCTATAGCTCCTTCAACAATCTTTCCTACATCCGCAGGCATGTATACATGTCTTTAAATGTTGGGTTGAATTGTACGAAGCGTTTTGTTCTTATCAGCTTGTTCCCTGAACTCAATACTGTGAGCATCTTTCTCTTTTGCACATCATCTTTTGCCAATAGCAAATGCATATTTTAATGCCTACTGACTTGAACCATTAAGTAATAAACCACCCAAAACTGCACATTCAGGAATATTTTATTATACGGACAGTACAACAAAATACTTGGAAGTGAGACTGTCCCGGAGAATCTAGGACATGGGGTGATCCTGTGTCCTCTGTAGATTCTTGCCCTCATTAACTAATGGCTGCTGTTCTTGCTCTGTATTTGTAAGACCGTTGCAAGTTCCTTTGTACACCTAAAACTCTACTATTTCCTCCCAAAGTATCTGATCCCTTTTGTTGTCCCTTAGTGTCAGTGACTCTCTGCTATTCCATCCTGAGTGTGTTCCTCAGCAATCTAGGCTCCAGAGTTGCTGAGTACCCTTTATGATCTCTTAGAAAGTGTTGGGACCCTTTACCTCTTATCTATCATTGGGTCCTTGCATGGTTAACAGAGGTCCTTTACGGTTTGCAGAATTCTTATGATTGTCTACACACACACACACACACACACACACACACACACACACACCCACACACACACACCACCCAAACCATGCTGCCAACATATTTATAACTGTCTCCACAACATCTCCCTCCATTCTCAGGTTATCCATGACACAATTTCTACCAGACTTTTGGTTTTAAGAGTGTTTTATTTACAACACTCTTAGGGAAATTTTCATTCCAACTTTGGCTTCTTTATCAACTTTTATTTCCCCTTGGAAATACAGAGGACTGGCTTATTTGCTGCTCCATTTGGTGCCAGGACTTGTGCCCCAAACCTTACTTCTTCCTCCTGAAACTACTGCAAGGAAATGGATGCCATTTTATAATCCCTCCACCTCAGGCAACAATTCAAGCACATGGCCCCTTGAGAGTTCATAAGGAGCTATCAGCAACATGTATGGAATGCTAGCCATGGGCCATGCTCTACCAGAATTTTCAAACCTGGGCTCTGTGTTTATCTCATTTTAGCCTCAGTGCTGCTCGGAGGAGCTTGAGGTTTTGGAAGGTTAATTTGCCCAAGATTATACTACCAGCAAGTATTCATGATTCAAACCCAAAACTCAGTGGCCCAACATATTTGGATTCTTATCACAAACACAAATCACAAGAGATAGTATAGTTTCCCTCCCCTCCACTGTTTCTAACCCTCCACTGTTACCCTCTGAGGGTTCCTTACTCTCTTTTGCTCTACAAATGTTTTTAAAGTAGTGGTTATCTTTCTGGTGCCTGCGGCCTGCAGCTTTGCTCCAGTAGGACTGTTTTCCTTGTAGTGAACCTACTCTGCACTGCTCTGGGTGGCTGAGCCCCATGGCTCCTGCTGCTGGGGTTTCTGCACCGGCTTCTGGCAGACCAGCCTCTCTTGCTTTTCCATCATCTCTGACTTATCTTCTGAGTTGCCTTTGTAGCTTCACCCCTTAGAGGGTACTGTCCTATGGCTCTTTTCTCGCTTTTCCTGTCTGACATTTATATCATGACTTAAGCATGACTACCAATTAGCCTCACCTGGCCCTGCTGCCTGACTCCTTCTATTTGATTGCCTTCCAATGTCTCTGACCAGGTGTCCTGAAGGTTCTTCAACCTTAGCATGCCCAACAACTAAGCTCACTTCTCCAGCAATCTCCTTTATGGGCTTTCTCCTGACTTGGTTCATAATATCACCATCTACTATCATCCATCTTCTAAATAGGAAACCTTAGAGATACATTGCATTCCATTCTTTCACACCTCATACTCAAATGATTTTCAAACCTTGGGCTCTACCTCAGAAGTATCTCCCAAGTCCAGCCCTTTATTCCCTCTGCCGCTGCCTTAATTCAGCACTCCACTCTTGCTTGCACTGTGTGAATGGCCTCTTAACTAGCATTATCTTCTTAAAAACCAAAACTGATTATGTCACCTGTCTTCAAAATCTTTGCAGTTTTGCTTTTATCTGTAGGATCACATCCATGTTCCTGGTTTTGATAGAGCAGTCATCATAATTGGGTGCCTATCTCTGCACCTCCAACTGAACCTCTGCTTCTTTCCTATCAGCTCCTGTATCCTACTGACACTTCAGCCTGGAGAGTAGCCCATATCCCTAAACATGGCATCCCACATGTTTATTGTCTTCCCTGAAGCCCTTCTACCTGGCAAATGCTCATTCTTCAGACCTGGCTCAAATGTCACCTCTAAGATGCTGTTACCCAGTCAGATGTGGCTGGGCCATCCTCTGCGCTCCTGCACACATATCTGTGCATCTCCACCTCTTGGTATCCATCTGATTAAATGGACTCAGATGAGGGTTCTTGGGGGCATCAATGTGCTTAACACCTTCACAGTGCCTCGTAATGCCCTCTGTTCTTTCCAGAACTGCTGTCCCCTGTGAAACACAAACCTCTGAGTGGGAGGGGATTGTGACCTTTTACTCCCCCAAATCATTTTCTCTGGCTCATGTCTGAGCCCTTGGCAGTGGTACTCCGAGTGTCTATAATGCTCTCACATTCAGCCCAGAGCCGCACCATTCCCTTCTCTCCCAGGAATCTGCATCTTGATCAATTCCCAAAATGATGCTAGTATTCCCTGAAGTTGTGACTAGTTCCAGAGCAGTGCACCCACTAATGTTCAGAAAGAATGCTAGTTCCTTCAGACATTTACCACAGGGGAGAACTTAAGGAAGACTGGGACTTGCTGCAAAGCAAACCTCCTTCCAGGAGAGTCGCAGTATAATTAGCATATTACAGGGTAGAGAAACCCCTAAAACAAAGACAACACAAGCAAACCAACCAAATAGCCTGATTTTCACAAGGGTAGCTTGCTTCTTTATATATATAATTTTTTTTTATTGGTTTCAGAAAGGAAGGGAGAGAGAGCTAGAAGCATCAATGATGAGAGAGAAACACTGATTGACTGCCTCCTGTACATCCCTTAATGGGGATCAAGCCCACAACCCAGGCAAGTGCCCTCATCAGGAATTGAAATGTGACCTCCTGGTTCTTGGATAGATGCTCACCCACTGAGCCACACTGTTTGGGATACAAGGGCAGCTTTCATTCTCCCTTCATATACATTAACACTCCTGCCCCTCTAAACACTGCTTCCCTACTCTGCCCTGGAGCACTTTATGTCTAGGATGATTTTAAACGAGGGAATCCCAGCCGCTGAGAGTTCCTGCCCCTGCTTTATCCCTGCTCTGCTTGTGGCCCCTTCTGTATCCTTCAGCAGGTCTCACAGCTCCTCTCCTCCCTGTCTCCCTGCAGGGGGGGTTCTCTATGCTGCCACTGTGAAAAACTACCTGGGGACGGAGCCGATTATCTCCCGGGCTGTGGGCCGTGCAGAGGATTGGATTCGGACAGAGACCTTGCCATCCTGGCTTAACGGTGGGGAGAGGAAGAGGGGTGCTTTGGGGACAGAGAGGGTGGATGGAGGCTGGGTGGCCCCACACTGAGTCAGGGATCTGAGGCCACAGGTCTCCCCAGCTCCAGCCTTTGTCGCAGCCGTGGCCTTGAGGCCAGCTGAGTGGGGGGATGAAGATGGAGACAAGGAAATCTACTTCTTCTTTACGGAGACTTCTCGAGCATTTGACTCATACGAGCGCCTTAGAGTTCCTCGGGTGGCCCGTGTGTGCGCGGTGAGACTCGATCCCAGCTGTCTGTCTGCCTGTCTGTTGTCTCCTGCTCTGCCTGGTCTCTGTCTTTCCTTCTCTGGGTCTCTGTCTTTGCATTTCTCCTCTGTCTCCATTTTCCCTGTCTTATTTTCTGCAGAGAGTGTGGGGAAAGGGCTCTAGCCCCTTTAACTCCATAACTACCCTTGTGACACAGTGTCCCTGGGAGGTGTAGGGGTTAAAGGTGGGAATTGTTGACAGACCTGGGCTCCCGACCCTGCTCCACTACTTCCTGCCTCTGTGAGTTGGGGCAGGTTCTTTAGCATCCTCATAGGTGAGGATATTGATGATGTCTAGCTATAAGGGTTGTTTTGAGGACTAACTGAGTAAGGTATGTGAAGCACGTAGTATAGTGCTTCATAAGTACAACAGTGAACTTAGTCACCGTCATTGTGACCCTGCCTACCCATGTATCATTCCCTACTGCTAACTCTGTCTGTATCTCTACATTGCATTTTTATGCATCTGTCTCTCCATCTGTCCTTGTCTGGGGGAAACTCGTATTGGTCTCCACATTCTCCCTACCATGTTAGTCTTCTAAAGAGAAATGCCCATGCTCTTGTCCCCCCAGGGGGACCTTGGGGGCCGGAAGACCCTCCAGCAGAGGTGGACGACCTTTCTGAAGGCTGACCTGCTGTGTCCAGGGCCTGAAGATGGCCGGGCCTCTAGTGTCCTGCAGGACGTGGCTATTCTTCGACCTGAGACTGGAGTGGGGGCCCCCATCTTTTATGGCATCTTTTCCTCCCAGTGGTGAGGGGGTCCTGGCGTGGAGGAGAGTTACAGGGTGGGAGATACGTGGGGTTGGCACCTTTCAGTGCTGTCTCTTCCAGAGGGGGTGGCCTCTCCCAGGTGCTGCCTGCATGGCTCCTATGCATTTCTTATGGGTCATCTCCTTTGACAGGGGGTGAGTGGTCCCCTAGAGCTTTTCAGATATCTGGCTCCAACCTGTGTCTCTTCCAGGGAGGGCGCTGCCATCTCGGCTGTCTGTGCCTTCCGACTACAAGACATTCGGACAGTGCTGAGTGGTCCCTTCAGAGAGCTGAAACATGACTGCAACAGGGGACTGCCTGTCATGGACAGTGATGTACCCCAGCCCAGACCTGGAGAGGTAAGGGGTCTGGGGCAGCTCTCACCCCATGCCAGAATTGCCTCATGAGAGCAAGAGCCCAACAAAGCACCACGGATACTTCCTGGGCCCTGGGAAGCTTTGCCACCTATCCTGTGTTTTCTCTAGTGCATCGCTAACAACATGAAACTCCAACAGTTTGGCTCATCACTCTCCCTGCCTGACCGTGTGCTCACCTTCATCCGGGATCACCCCCTCATGGACAGGCCAGTGCTTCCGGCTGATGGCCACTCCCTGCTGGTCACTACAGATACAGTCTATCTCAGAGTTGTGGCCCACAGGGTGGCCAGCCTCTCAGGGAAAGAGTATGATGTGCTCTACCTGGGAACAGGTATGTTTAGCAACCAAGTACATCGCCCATCCCGTGCTCTTGTCAAAGAGAGGGTCATATACTTACAGGTTTGAGAGTCCCAGGCACAGGTACAGTGTGTCATTATGTCATGCCTTCTGCCTGCTTCCTAGAGGATGGACACCTCCACAGAGCTGTGCGGATTGGAGCCAAGCTCAGCGTCCTTGAGGATCTGGCCTTATTCCCAGAGCCACAGCCAGTTGAGAATATGAAATTGTATCAAGTGAGTCATCGATTTCAGGGAGTCTGGTGGGGAGACATCTGAGCTAGCTTGTGACCCCGAAGTTTGGGAGATGCAGCATAGTCCTCTTTTTACTCACTTTCTCTAGAGCTGGCTCCTGGTTGGGTCCCGTACTGAGGTAACACAAGTGAACACAACCAACTGTGGACGTCTCCAGAGCTGCTCAGAGTGCATCCTGGCCCAAGACCCTGTCTGTGCCTGGAGCTCCCGGCTGGATGCATGTGTGGCCCATGCTGGGAAGCATGGAGGGTGAGTGTGGCTGCCCTGGCCTCGTGCCTGCTGTCACAGGGCTCTGACCTCTCCATATATCTACCTGTTTCTGATCTGTTTATACTGCCCTGTGTGTTCCTTTTAGTGTCACTGTGTTTGTCAGTCCCTACTAACTCATCTGTTTGTCCATCATGCGGCCTTATTAATGTTCCTGCCACTTTGCTGGACTTGCCCCGGACCATGTGACTGACTTTCATGTTGCCTTACACTTCTCAGTTTCCATTTTGTAAGAGCACTTAGAAGTATTTTCACAGTTGACCACTCCCTCCTTTCTGCCTTGAAATACTCTTTCCTGTTGCCTTCTATGACTCTGCATTCTCCTGGTTTTCCTCCCTATCTCACCAGCCTGTCTCCCTTTACTCATTTCTTTCCATCCATTTTCTGAATTTTGATATTTCTCATGGTTCAGTTCTTCTTTTTACTTCTGTGCATTCTCTACATGATATTATTCCCATTATTTTCAACACCAACCGAATGTTGTTGACAACTACAGATGTATCTGTAGTTGAGTTACAGAACTTATCCAACTGCCTACTTGGATGCTTTATAAGCTGTTCAAATTTAGCAGGTCTTAGCATGAACTGTTGTTTTTTCATTCTTTCACATGGTTCTCTGGCCTTCCTCATCTCAAAAAAGGGACCTATGTGAATCCAGTTGCTCAAAGCCAGAAATTGCCCATACTGTATTGCAGTTGGTTCTGACTCTAGCTCCATCTATTACCTCCTCAGTCCTCAGCAACTTCTCTCCTTCTCTACTGCTATCACCCGTGTCCTAGCCATCATCATTTCTTAATTGGATTACTCTAATCACCTCTAAATTGGTCTTGTTTTGTCCATTTGGGGATCCTATCATCCATTTTTCATTCAGCAGTTAACTTAAAATCAAGTGCCATATTGAAGCATATACCTGACATTATATTCATCTATAATATTTCATTATATATCTATATCAGATAAAAACTCTCTTAAAAACATTTTATTATAGGAAACTTCAAACATTCAAAAACTAGATAGTATAATGAATATCATTCAGCTTCAACAACCATCAGTTGACCAGTCTTGCTTGATCACTATCTTCACTCACTCCCAATTATTTTAAAGCAAATCTTAGACATCATATTACTTCATCATAAATCTTTCTGTGTGTTTTTCTAACACAGGAAGGCTTTAAAAAATGTAACCATATTATCATTATCACACTGCAAACTCACTTTCTTATCAACTATCTAATCAATGTCTGATTTTCCCAATTGCATATACTTAAAGATAGTTTGCTTAAGTCAGGATCAAAATAATGTCCATCAGTTGTAATTGGTTGTTATGTTTATTAATTCTTTTAATCTTTAATTAAGATTCCTTTCAAATGAGTATTTTTAGTTAATTGCTTAGAAGGTATTTTTTTAGACTGACTTCATGACTTCCTATTTTAAAGCCCAGTTAATTTACTGTATATTTGTGCATACTACTAAATCCCAATCTTACAAATATTTTAGAAGTAAAAGTACTTGTTTTTGGGAATTGATTTTGGTTAAGAACTTTGATCTGGTATTTTAGTTTCTATTGGGAGAGCTTTGATACATCTCAGATGAAAACAAGTGCTTGATTCTTTTCTTTATTGCTTTAATATCCATTAAAATAAGAATTTCATTGGAGTTGGATATCCTGTGTACTTGAACCTTGGGGTCTTCTCCACATACATATGTATGTGTGGGTAGGATGTGGGGTGTGCATATATGCCAGTATATTTCTTAGTAATATGAGAAATGACCAACATGATATTTCTATGAACTCTATCCTTCATACCTCAACTCATATAAGGGAGAAAACATGAAGTTCTGTGGCTATAGCCATACCTATGGCCTTCCCATGTTCCCCACTGTCAGCTAGACTAAACAAACTTGGTTTTACCCGAGGACTTTAATATATTTACACCAGTCTCGGAGCTTGTTTCAGGGGCTCCAATTCATGTTGAAGGAATTTACACTCAGAATCTACTTTTGTTGAAGCTTTTGTGTGTTCCATCTGATCTTCACTGACAGGCCACTAGAGGTCTCCCTGGCCTCTCTCCCTCCCTCTGGTAGTGGTGCCAGGAAGTTCATAGTGAGCAGCCTGTCTTGCTGTCCTTTCAGACACAGTCCATTGAAATCCTGACAATACCAAGATTGTATTATTTGAAACAGATCTGTTAGAGACCAAAAGGTACTAATAGTTGTTGAAGAAAGAGTTCCTGCATAGAGATGAGCAGCTTTATGAAATAAAGTCATCTCACTGATCCTCACAGAGTTTGATTAACTTTTATAGAGAAGTCTTCCCTTTCTCTTAACAGGAAAAAAACAACAAAAACCAACAAACAAACCCCAGACCACTCTGTAGTTTTAATATTCTTTTCCAGAGAAATCTTATGGTGTGGACAGTCAGCTATATTGGAAAATCCATTTTTTTTTTAAAGCACACCAACAAACATCTTTCCAACAGACCTAGTGCAGATTTAATTTTGTATTGTCTGCTAGAACATATGTAGAATTTGACATGTCAATTGTCATGAGGAATATTGAGGGAAATTTTAATGATGAGAATGTTGACTGATAATTCTAGGAGTGATTAATGAGATGATGGGAGATATAAATATTCTGTGGTACTGAGGAGTATAGAGGGGAATATTGACACTGGATTTATCAAATATTCTCTTCTTTGTAGGCTTGTTCAAGACATAGAGTCAGCGGATGTCTCTTCTTTGTGTCCTAAAGAACCTGGAGGTTTGTCTGGTTTAGGGAAATGTGGGTGGAGTTGGGTGGAAAGAGGCTAGAAAGTTGTCCATTTTGGACCCTTTAAACTTGGATCCTGGAAGATATGGTAGCCAGTGACCTGGGCCTTACCCTTTTTGGGAATCTCCTTTTAGCTTTGCCCCATGGTTCCTTCTCAAATCTGATATCCTCCTATGTTTCTCTTCATTCCCCTCCATCCCTCAGCCTATAGCCTCACTACCTTTTATGCCTTTGCTGTTTCCTTGCAGAACACCCAGTAGTGTTTGAAGTTCCTGTGGCTACAGCTGCGCATGTGGTCTTGCCATGTTCCCCAAGCTCAGCCTGGGCATCCTGTGTGTGGCACCAGCCCAGTGGAGTGACTGCTTTTACCCCTCGTAGGGATGGACTAGAGGTGGTGGTAACCCCAGGGGCCATGGGTGCTTATGCTTGTGAATGTCAGGAGGGTGGGGCAGCCCGGGTGGTAGCAGCTTATAGCTTGGTATGGGGCAGCCATCAGAGCCCCTCAAGTCGGGCCCGCACTGTGGGGGCTGGACTGGCTGGCTTCTTTCTGGGGGTTCTTGCAGCATCTCTGACTCTCCTCCTGATTGGTCGACGTCAGCAGCGACGGCGGCAGAGGGAACTTCTGGCTAGAGACAAGGTGGGCTTGGACCTGGGGGCGCCGCCATCTGGGACCACAAGCTACAGCCAGGATCCTCCCTCTCCCTCTCCTGAAGATGAGCGGCTGCCCCTGGCTCTAGGCAAGAGGGGCAGTGGCTTTGGTGGCTTCCCTCCACCTTTTCTGCTTGATCCTTGCTCGAGCCCAGCCCATATCCGGTTAACTGGGGCTCCTCTGGCCACGTGTGATGAAACATCCATCTAGGACAGGCAAGTGACCACTAGTGCATGAGTGGCCACTGGAATGGAGTGACCATTGAGATGTTGGGTCACTGGGCCTGGAAGACCATCATGGCCTCTGAGTTCTCTTTGAGTGATCACTTGACTTCAATGTGAGCCCTCTCTGGACCTTGATGGACTTGAGGCCAGGCCTTTGTCTGAATCCTGATTCCCATGAGAGATCAGAACTTCTCTCTGCAGTGAATCAGGATTTTTCCCACCCCTGCACTCTGAACCCTGGTGACTCCTTTAGTCCTGGCCCATTATTTTGGGCCCATAAATTTGGAGATGGGCATAGGACATAGCTATGACTTTCCTTCTGGTTTTGCCCTGGCCAGAAGGAGGAGCTATGGAGGCACTTGGAAGCTAATGTGCACTGAGTCCTTGGAGTGGTTTTGCTGATTCTTCCAGTTAGTCTAATTCTCTGTGAGAGTGCATGATCTCCCTCCACCCCACTTTTCCTTCTTCCATGAAAGAGCATGTGTATATATGAGTGTTCATAGGACACCTGCTAAATGTGCATGAATGACTGGGCCATTGCTCAGGTGTGTTCATCGGGGGTAAAGAAGGGGAAGGTTGGGATGGGGGAATTGACTGCAGAACTTTAGATCCTATAGCCAATGAAGGAGTGGCTTTCTAATAGAAAATAAACAACTGCCCCACTCCCCCAATCACTTCTCACAACCCTTCTCTTGAGAAAAACTCCCAAAGAAGCCTTCTGGATGGGAAGGGTAGCAGTACATGTGAGCCCATATTTCTGTTTGTGTTTGCCTCCTGGCTGCCACCACTGCCATGCTCTCTTCCTCTGGCTGAGTGCAGGCTTGACCCCCTTTCCTTGGCTCCCATTAAAAATAAATTTCACAACATTCTAAATATTAGGGAACAACAAAAGGGGAACAGTCATAGGAAATGCAAGCAGTGTAAAGATAAGTTTGTATCAGTGACTTTACTCAGGTTGATACCCTTGCCCTAAAGCAGTTAGTTCTCTAGAGGGGGTCCATGGACTCCCTGAAATCGTATGCAAAATGTTGTCTGTATATGTGTGTCTGTGTTTTTTCTGGGGGGATGTTTTATGGCTTTCATCAGATTCTCAAGGCCTTAACAAAGTTAAAGGACCACTGCCCCCACGTCATGACACCGTTGGCCAAGCTGAGATGGTGCCACTCAGCAGCAGCTCTTCTGCCCCAGCCCACCTGCTCTGTGGCCAGCCCCTGGACCTGCAGCTCCTGGATGCCGTTTCATTTCTCCAGACCCTGGAAGCTGAGCTCTGTGCATATTTGAAGACACTATCAACTCTCACTAAACTTAAAGACTTCTTCCTGCTTCACAGCTCACAGATGCTTTAGGCTTCTGCTTGGTTCTGGTCTTGGCCTGTAAATGTGCCTCATTCATCCCTGGTGAGGGACTTTCCCTCCACCCGCCTTGAGCTCCAATGAATGATCCAGCCCTTCCCAGTTGAAGTTTTCAGCTCTACTTTCCTTGGCGGCAGCCTGTGAACCACCCAAAAGAGTCCCCTTGGGTTTGGACTTATCAGTGGCTATGCCCTAATAAGTGTATGATCTTCAGCAAGTAATGTAACCTGGGAACATTGGTTTACTCATCTGTAAAGTGGGGATAATAATACCTACCTCAAGGTTGCTACAAGGATTAAATGAGAACATGTAAACAATAAAGCGCTATCTATACCAGTAGAGGTGGTTGTGTAAACATTGGACTATTACACCATAATTATACCCCTTAACCATGACACATGTATCACTTTAAGCCCCATTTGGTGTAAGGAGGGTCATTTCCTCACACAGATATCATCTCTGGCCAGATCTTAGCAGCCAGTGTCTAAGGCCTGTGGGAGGCAGGGCCTGTGGTTTATTGTAATCCTCAGATGTTTGACCTTAGTGACCTTATTAGTCCTTTGTGGGAATGGAGGAAGGTGTATGTTCTTTGGTTTGTCCTCACTTTACTCTCAAAGTTAAGCGTTAATTCCACTTGAGGGAGGAAAGGAGATGGGAGATAGATGTAAGAGGGGTCTGGTGTCTCTGAGGAGGGGAGGAGAAGAATTTTCCAGGGTGGGGAGGAATTCAAGCATGTGCAGCCCGCTGGCCACGAGTTTGACATGCTTAGATTAGATCATGGTAGATTTGAGCATTTGGTTCTTAAACAGTGGCTCTGGTTGGAGGAAAATGGGATGAGGAATGTAGGAAAAATGAGGAATGATGGGAATAGACATGAAGTGAGGAAAATCACCTCTTAGTTGGAAAGTTCAAGCCCCAAGAGTGAGTGAGACCTCAGGAATGTGCAGCCAGCCCTTAGAGAAATAGTTCGAGTAATTGCATTATCTTTGGGGTGTGGGAAGAGAAGAGAGCTGGAGGAGGGTGCAGGATTCCTACAGGGACAATTGTGAAGATTCTGGCAGCCAGAGACCTGGCTGGCTTCATACACTAAAGAAGGGTGAAGATGGGACTTGCGCCTCACTTCTTGGCCCTCTTTTTTTTTTTTTTTTTTTTTTAAATATATTTTATTGATCTTTTTACAGAGAGGAAGGGAGAGGGATAGAGAGCCAGAAATATTGATGAGAAAGAAACATCGACCAGCTGCCTCCTGCACACCGCCTACTGGGGATGTGCCCGCAACCAATGCATATGCCCTTGACCAGAATCGAACCTGGGACTTTTGTCTGCAGACCGATGCTCTATCCATTGAGCCAAACCAGTTTTGGCTGGCACTCAGTCTTAAATACCCATCTGTTTTTGGCTCTGGTTCATGATCCCTAAACTGTTATCTTCAGCTTGTCACTCCTACCATTGTCTGCTGCTACCCACGTCGCCTTACTGAAAATAGAGCCAGAAAGAGAAGCTCATTATGGGCTCTTATGAGCCAAGGGAGCTCTAGCACAGCATGGCCTATCCTAACAGGCCAACTCACATCTTTTCCCTGGAGACCCCCCAGTCCCTCCCTTTTCCCAGCAGCCCACAACTTCACTGGTGGCCTCAGTGATGGCGGGAAATGTCCTTTTGGTATCTGCTGGGCCCTGACTGTCCTGGCTTCTTTACTATTGTCATGGCTGCAACAGACTATACACAGGTCCTGCCTGCTCAAGGGTAAAGTGATAAGACTTGCCTTTTTTGGCAGAGACAAAGTTGGAATTTTGAAAGATTGTTTTTATCAACTAGAAAAACTAGCAGTAAAAGTACAAAAAATCTTGCTGTAGTTTTTAAGTTTTCCCTGATGGGCCCCAGGACAGGCCTCTCTGTGACATGGTAACTTGTGTGACCAGTAGACAACAGGTGTGGTTCCAGGCAGGTCTATCTGGACTGAAGAAAACACTAGGTGCTGGTTGAGGTGGGGAATGGCAAGCAATAGAGAAGGGATCTAGCTTCCTGAGGATGTTAGATGGGGTCAGGGGTCAGGGGTCAGGTTAAGAAGGCTGCTCCAGGCCCTGTGGAGAAATAAGTGCAAGTCAAGAACTCTTCCTCTTTTCTTTCCCCTTGGTTCCCAGCCCAGGGGACTGGAGTTTAGGACTATAGATGCATCTTGGACCTGCCCACTAGTGGGTGTGGCACTCCTCATTTATGACAGAGGTGGCACTCTGAGACTTGGCAGTGCTGGGCTACAAGCTAAAGGCTTCACCACCTGCAGCTGGAACCATGGTTGGGACTCGAGGAGTCAGCAACTATTGACCAAAATCTCACCCTCAGGTTCGAGCAAGTCCTTCGAGTTGAGGCTAGCAATGAAGTCCTTCCAGGACTGAGGTTCACACTATGCACTCTCTGAGGGGTAAGTGTTAAGGAAGCTGGTTAGATCTCTCTGGTGAGAGGCTGAGGCAGAGAACTGGGGAAAGCTCAGGCCTGCATACGCATACATTATATCTGTCAACTGAGGGGCTCCATTAGCATCAGATGAAGTTCCTAGAATCCTCCCCTGCAAGCCCAGGAATGCAAACAGTCAACATCCATTTTTAATATTCTCCTTTCAAGACATGCTTGCTCACGATAGGTAAGCTCCTATTCCTTCCTCTATAAGAAGCGAGGAGGCGAGGTGGCCCTTGCCTTAGGTGAGAGTGGGGAATGGCTGTCTTAGTCTTTGAGTGATGTAGACCTGTGCTCTATTTCCACGCAGTTTTTCCAGAAGTGTCACAAGCTTTGTGAAATGGAGGGTAGATGCAGGAGACAGTGATGGCCTTGAGGATGAGGGGGAAGAGTCCCATACTATTGTGAAAGGATGGAGCTGCCTGCCCATTGGCTGAGTGGGTTTGGAGAATGAGCTTCTTAGCAGCAGCAGTCATGGGAACCAACCTCTTCTGTCCTTTGCTGGAAGCCACATGAGTCCCATGAATTCATGTTCAATTCTAGGGAGAAAGATGGCCACCCTCAAAATGCCTGAGATAAAATATTTTCCTTCTGAAGTGACTGGGTGTGCAGGTTAAATTGATTCACAAAAAATAATGCTTTTTTTTTGTTTTGTTCCTGTGATTTTGTAGAGAAACATTCATGTCTACTGTAACTAATATCAGCATTTCTAAAATTATCTGAGTCTGGATGTCTAAAATTAGCTGAGTCTGGAATTGCCATGGAAGGGTAGAGTTAAATGACTTCTTCTAAAATGAAGAAGCCATTTCTCCTAAGATAGCTTCTCCCAACACATAACCACCATATTCATCTTTTATCATACTTAAAAACTACCGCCTCTCAGATTTACTAGATTTAGGCAATTTGCCTGTGATTTCATCATCCTATATAATAAAAGCCTAATATGCAAAGTGTCCGGTCAGCTGTTTAACCAATCAAAGTGTAATATGCTAATGATATGCTAAGGCCACTCAACCATTTGCTATGATGTGCACTAACTACCAGGGGCAGACAGTCAACTGGTTGACCAGTCGCTATGATGTTCACTGATTACCAGGGGGAAGACGCTCCAACCAGTAGGTGAGCTTGCTGCTGGGATCCAGCCAGTCAGGATTGAGTGAGACAGGCCAGACATGCCCTGGAGCCCTTCTGTGATCCCTCACTGGCTGGCCAACCTCCCGTATCCTTCCCTGGCCCTGATTGTGCACTGGTGGTGTCCCTCATCCTGGTCTGCACCCTCTTGCATTTGGGACCCCTCAGAGGATGTCAGAGAGCCGATTTTGGCCCGATCCTGCAGGCCAGGCCAGGCCAAGGGACCCCACTGGTGGACGAATACATGTTCTGGGTGTCTAGTAATACTATAACTCATCATAGATTGTGATCACCTTGCAATTCCCGTGTCCTAGTTGACAAACCCAAGTGTCTACATGCTACCTCTACAAAGGTTTATGAGAAGGCTACCATTAGAAGCTTTGCTAGATAAGTTATTATTCTTTTGTGTATTTATTGCTATGGTAGTCAGGATAGACTCTGTTAACTATATATATAAAAGCCTAAGGGACTGGCTGACTAGCTGGTAGCTATAATGTGCAATGACCACCAGGGGGAAGATGCTCAACACAGGAGTTGCTGAGCTGTAGTGACTTGGCAGCTGTGGTTCCTGGGTAATGCACCCGGAACCAGAAAGGAGGGAGCCCGATTCCAGGGTGCTTCACCCGAGAACCACCCTCTCACAATCCGACATCCCTGGGGGACGTCGGAGAGCCAGTTTTGGCCCAATCCCTGCAGGCCAGCTGAGGGACCCCCCTGAATCTGTGCACCAGGCCTTTAGTGATATAATAACAAACAACCCCATACTCTTAGTGGTTTAAAAATATTTCTTACACACACTACTCAAAAAAGAAGGAAATCCTGAACACATGCTACAATATGGATGAACCTTGAGGATATTATGAGTGAAATAAGCCAGTCACAAAAGGACAAATACTGCATGATTCCACTTATATGAGGTACTTAGAGTAGTCAGATTCATAGAGATAGAAGCTAGAATGGTGGTGGCCAGGGGTGATGGATGAAAGGAATGGGGAGGTTATTATTTAATAGGGGTAGAGTTTAAAAAAAAAATATTTTATTGATTTTTTACAGAGAGGAAGGGAGAGAGATAGTTAGAAACATAGATGAGAGAGAATCATCGATTAGCTGCCTCCTGCACACCCTCTACTGGGGATGTGCCCGCAGCCAAGGTACATGCCCTTGACCAGAATCGAACCTAGCACCTTTCAGTCCACAGTCCAATGCTCTATCCACTGAGCCAAACCGGTTTCAGCAGGGGTAGAATTTTTAAATGTTTTACGAGGGTGGAAAGAGTGCTATAGGTAGATGGTGGTGATGGTTGCATAATATTATGAATGTATTTAAAATTACTAAACTGAGTACTAAAAAATGGTACTTAAAAGCTTCTCTTCTTCAGACATAAGGTTTCACCTTAAAAGGAGATGGTA